GAGAGCCAGGGCGCTCCGTGCTGGGGGTACTTCAGGGAAATAAGCCCACAGCATTTCCTACTGCACCCATGACTGGAGCCAGGTCTCAACGATCATCTCCATCCTTTCCGTCCACGGGTGACAGTGGCTTCCTGTGCACGTAGGTACGAGGAAATCCAGCGGGCACGGGATGAGCTGGGCGCTAGCGTGGCCGAGGTGGCAGCGGAGGCCAGGAGAGCTTTAACAGCCGTGCAGCAGGCGAATGCAGTCATGGCCGAGCAACTTCTGCTGGTGTCTGCACTGGGGCAGGTGAACAGCGTCCACACTGAGGCTCCTGCTTGCATCCCTATCCTGTTGGGCAGCGCTGCCTCCCGGGCAGGGAGGTTGCTGTCCTGGAGCGCTGACATCCCTGACCCCACAGCAGACGCTGCTGGCACAGGCTGGAGACCTGGCACAGGACACGGCAGCGCTGGAGCAGGCAGTGGAGGCGCAGGAGCCATCAGCTCTGCAGGCCACGGAGGCATCGCGTGCTGTGGCAGCCGGACTGCAAAGGGAGCTGCAGAGGATTCGTGGCTTCAAGCAGGTGAGTGCTGCTCACCTGCATGGGGTGTCCCTGTGGAGTAAGTGATGGGGACCCACTGTTCCAGCTGGAGCAATGGGCAGGCTGAGTGCATCCCTCTCCTGGCTCCTACCCAGGGTACAGCGGGTGGTTGAGCCCCATTCCCACTGCTCCAATGACTGGGAGGGGGTCAGGGTGCATGTTTTAGGAGACATCTCCCCTTAGGATCCAGATCTCCCAAGGAACTCACCTGCTAAGCACCTCCTTGCCCCCTCCCCAGCCTCACTTCTTCTCTCCTCTCCCCAGCTGCAGGACCAGGCTGGCTCTGCCCATGGCACAGCCACATCGGCCGTCTCACATGGGAAAGCTGTGCTCTCTGATGCAGAGTCCCTCCTGGCCAGCGTGGAAGGTAAAAGACACCAGCCAGAGCATCTCTGGCCACAGCTCAGCTCTCGTCACACTGGCTCTGGGTTTCAAGGGGAGAAAGGGGCAGTTTGGTGATGGCCGGGTTGTCCCCGCAGGCATGAGGAAGGTGCTGGGGCATCGGAAGGGCCAGGCTGCCCTGCACAGGAGGATGGCGCTTGTGCGGGATAGGACAATGGTGGAGACACAGAGGAAGATTAAACAGGCAGAGAAGACACTGGGAAACTCCTTATCCATCTCCACTGCAGCCCAGAGGACAGCCAGGGAAGCTGAGCGAGTCACTGGGGAGAGCGCCAAGGTCTGAGCAGAGGGATGTGGGGTGCGGGAAGCCCACATTAGGCTGCAGGACATGGCTGGGCTGGCAGCCGCCACAGGCAGAGCCCATCCTGCTCCAGGGCTCCCAAATACAGCTCCTGCTGCCCATCCAGCACAGCCCATCCTTGTCTGCATTGCAGATCAGGGGGATGCACCCGACCAGGGCTCCAGCCTAGGAGCCAGCCGTGGTCCCCCTGCATGTCCTGATGTGACTGTCCCCATCTCCATCCCTTTGCAGAGGGCACAGGCGGTGCTGCAGGAGAGCAAGCGTGCCCGCAAGCATGCCAGCCAGCTTGCTATGCGTGCCAATGAGACCCAGTGGGAGCTCTCCCGGCAGGAGCATGTGGCTGAGAAGCTCAGGAGGGACCTGGAGGAAGCACATCAGGTGAGCTGGGCACCCTCAGGCAGGCTGTCCTCCATGGAGCCTGGAAAGGGGATTTGCCCACAGGGGAAAGCATAGGGAAGAACCTGGGAGCTCGGGCTCCACTGTATGGGGATTGTCTTGGGGATGCTCCTGGGATTCCCTCCCTGCTCCTGTCCAGCCAAGGGGCAGCAGTGTCCCTGATCTGGGTTTCTGTCTGTGTTGGAAGGTGGGGATAGAGGTGAATGACATGGCAAAAAGTCTCCAGGAAGCCCGGGGCTCGCTCACTGCGGACATCGAGACCCTGAACGACCTGCTGCAGAGCCTAGGTGAGACAGGGCCCTGCGGAAGGGACAGCCTGTTGGGGTTTGAGGGTCTCCTGATGGCTGGTGCTGTCCCTCCTGCCCTCTGGCATCCAGGCTGAGCTGGGTGCCTCTGCTCAGGGTCTTAGCAAAGCTTCTTGAGGGCTCATATCTCAAGGAAAGCCCTTGTGCGGGATGGATTGGAGCTTGCTGAATGTGTGTGCTCATGCGTGGTGTGGGGACAATCATCTCCCTTGGCATCTCCAGGAGGAGCAGGGCTTGATCAAGGGCCCGGTCCCTTTGGAGCCAAGGGATGGGTTCATTCCTTTGTTGCTGGCTGGGTTTGCTCCATCTCCTCCTGCTTTGATCATCCGGGTGTATTTCTGAGTGCTCCAGCACTTGTGCGTCTGAGCAGCTTTGTAAAGGGGTGGAAGTCATCACCCATCTGTAAGAGAGATGTGCCCCAGCCCTGCCTGCAGCCACAGCCCTCTTTGCTTATCTGCCATCCCTGGGAAGCTGCACTGCCTCCATGCCCCGCTGCACCCGCTCCCTACAGTTTGCCTGGTGCCGAGGGTCTGGAGCACATCCAGAACCTCTGTTCCCAGCTCTTTGCCTCTCATCCCTGTCCTCTCCCTTTGCCCAGGTAACCTGGAGCCGGCCGTGCCAGTGGACGCGGTGCTGAGCGCCGGGAGGCTGCGGCTGCAGCAGCTGCGGCTGCGTGTGGCTGCACCGGGCGCCCTGGCTGGGCAGCTCAGCCTGCTGCAGCAGGAGGCTGCGCGGCAGCAGGAGAAGATCCAGGCGGTGGAGAGCGAGCTGGCTGAGATCCGGGCTGACAAGCAGAACCTAGAGGACATCCTGCGGAGCCTCCCCGAGGGCTGCTCGCAGTGGCAGTGACAGATCCATGGTGGCTGCTCCACCACATCTGTGCTCCCCTGCAGAGCGAAGGACACCCTGTGCTCACCAGCATCGATCCCCCCACCGCTCTCCATGCTGCTCTACATACAGTATCACAGCCCAGGTCCTTATTTGCACAGGTTCAGGCTCAGCATCCCATGTGCTCTGTGATGGACTTTGGCCACCAGCTGTCCTCAGGGCAGGGGGCAAGCAGCTACCAGTGACCACCCATGTTCCTGTAGGATATGGAGAAACATGGTCATGGAACATCACAGAGTTGGTCTCTCACCATGGAGTGAGCAAAGAACTGCCACCGATCTCCATGCTAGACACATCCCTCCATCTGTCCCACCAGCAGGGAGGGACTGCTTATCAAGTGTGTAACATACCAAAGCTGCGGTGCCTCCTGCCCCAGGAGATAAGAGAGAGGCTGTTGAACGCATGCTGGAAGCTGGTCTTGCTGCACAGCATCCTGCAGTGCGATGCTCATGCGCTGGGGTCACAGAGGTGCAAAGACGAATCCTGGTGAAGCCAGGCAGTCCCAGCTGTCCTGTCCCGGCTCTGCTTGGCTCAGTGGATGCCACCAGGTCTGGCTATGAAGCAGCCCAGCTGCTGGCGGGTGGCAGAGCAATGCACTGGGCAGGAGGGGGCAGAGCTGATGCTTGCAGCCCCGTATCGGCACCCGAACACCCTCCCCGCTGCAGAGGAGCCGCTGTGGCACCAGGCAGCGCAGTGGAGAGCAGCAGGACACGGCCAGCTCCTGCCAGTGTCACTCCCGCAGGATGTCAGAGGTCGGTGGCTGTGTCTCCTTTAAAGGAAAGGCATGTGTGTGTGTCCACCCTGCACTCCCATGCGGCTGGGCCCGGCCCTTGCTCAGCCCACCCTGTGCTGGCTGCATCCTGACTCCAAGTAGCAGTTGAAGTCACTCCCATCAGACCAGAAAGGAGTCCCCAGGCTGGAGCCCACTTCACTTTTTAACCTGTTTAACCTGTTTTCTTTGGCTCACAGTGCTGGAAATCAGGTTTGCTCAACTCTGTTTGTAGTGCTAGATGTGTACCTGCTGCCATAGACACTGAAACCCCCAGTGTCATCTCTGGTGGGTCCAGTGGAAGGGACACAGGATTTTCCTACCAGGAACAAACCTATCATCTCCCTCCTAATTCTGCACAACAGCTGCCCAAAGAGTGGGGTGCCAGACCTGCAGCATTGCAGGGGCTCCCCGCTTGCTGCCCAAGAACAGCTCAATCACACAGCAGCACGAGCACATTGTGGTTCAGCTGTGGTGAGAAGCAGGGAGCCACAGCCACGTACCATCTCCCTGTGTTAACGATTACACATCTCCAATCCCCATACAGATCTGCTGCTGTTACAGAGATGCCAAGGCTTTGCCTTGTGCCTGCTGCTGAAATGTGGTTCATCCTCCCTTTCTGGTCTCCTTGGGACTCTGTTTTAGCTGGTGACACCTGCCTAGAGCCATAGCCATTAAAGTTTCTTAATACAAGACATAGCTAAGCATCTGACCAAGCAAATGGCAGCAGGAGGGGGGAGATGTGCTTGCTGCCTTCTCTAGGAGCAGAGGAAGCTGCACCAGGGGTTGAAATGCAGCTGGGTTCATGGTGATGTGGGCCAACAACCTGACAATTCCTACTAAAACCCACTTTAACATAGCTATTTCTAAGAGGAATGCCTAGCCAAGACCACAACCTCCACAACAGGCTGCTCAAGGTTATGAACGATCCATCCTTGCAGTGTTCAAGGCCAGGTTGGGCAGGGCTTGGAGCAACCTGCTCTAGTGGAAGGTGTCCCTGGTGTACCTTTCCAACCCAAACCATCCTATGGTTGCATCCTGCCCAGGACAAGCATCCTTTGCTCGTGCGGTAGATGCTTTTTCCCTGCTGTTTCTGCGCCGGAGCTCACTCAGCACCGATCCGCAGCCGCTTGTGCTTTATTACAGCCCCGAGCTGCTCTCAAACAGCATCTTAGAAACGTGGTCCCTGTGCCGGCAGCCTCCAGCGACCGAGCCCCGATGGGAGGGACGCGGCGAAGCCGCCGCGTCCCTCCCATCGGGGCTCGGTCGCTGGAGGCTGCCGGCCGCGGTACCGCTTCCCGGCCGCGTAGTTCTCCATTCAAACCCTCCCCACGGAGCAGGGAAGGGGTTAACGACCGGGGAGAGGGGCCGGTCCTGCCCGCCTCTATTTAAGGCGGCGGCCGTCGAGGGGCGGCTCCGAGAGATGGCGGCTCCGCGCCGACCGAGCGGCGGGGGGCTGCGGCGGGCGCCGCAGGACGGGCGGCTGGAGGAGATCAATAAGGTGGGGTTAGAAGGGGATAGACCCGATCCCTGCGGGAGGGAGCGGGGATGCGGTGATCCCGGTGGGGACGGGAGGGAGGAAGGGGCAGGTGGAAGTGGGTCCCACGGAGGGAATTTGGGCTGGATAAGGGCAGTGGTGGCTCTTTGGCAAGGGGGGGGAGTGTTCCCTCTTCGGCTTCTCCACCCGTGGTGTTAGGATGCCACAAAAGCCCCTTTGGGAACATGCTACAGCAAGAATAGGAGCTGTTGCCCTCCCGGTGGGCTTCGACCTCCCCTTTGCGCTCTGATTTCTTCTCCCAGACCAAGAGGTTCTGCTGTTCAAAAGAGCAGACTTAAGCCTCTCTGGTTTTCAGCTGCAGTGGGTGAATGGGGAGCCCGGGGTGGTTGGATGTCCCACAGACCTCGCAGGGGGAAAGGCAGCTCCTGGATTAGTGCAAAGTACACTGGGCTGCATGCCCTTCATGCTGGGGTTAAGCGAGGTCCTCTCCTCAAGCTTTCAGCTTGCCCCATCCCTTGGCATAGCCAGCGAGGGCAGGTCTGTTAACATCCCCCCCTGGCCAAGAGCAGTTCTGAGGGTGAAAAGTAGGTTTTCACCTTGAAACAATGAGCAATGGCATTTCCAGGGTCATTTTCAGGTGGAAATCACGGACGTAGCTGATGCAGCCAGTGTTACAGGTGGAAAAATCAGACCACTGCACAAGATGAGAGCCTGGAAGAGGCAGTGGGCTTGCCTTGCTCTTGTGTTGAGTGGGCTGTGAAAAGTGCCAGTGTGTTCCTCCAGGCAGGGGTGAGACAGCGGAGGTGAAGTTTATGTAGGTCACTGGAGGGGGAATTGCGTCAATAGAAACCAGGAGGTGCTGGGGAATAGGAGTGGGGAAAAGTGTAGAATGAGAGCACTTGGCTGAAAAGGAGCCTTTGAACCCTGCTGTGGGAAGGCAGGCATGAAACCCTGCGCCAAGGAGGTGCATAGGTGGGTCTGATGCAACCCCCATGGCCAAGGTGGGGTTGACCCTTGGGTTGGGGAGGAAGGGGGCATGCTGTACCTACTGCTGCTCCAGAGCCGCCCTCCAGCATCGCTTGGATGCAGGGTAAGTACATGATCCTTCAGCTGGCAGGAGCACAAGGACTGAGCTTGGGAAGCCCCAGGATACTGCTGCTGTGCCACTGCTGTGCCCCAGGGTTGGGGGCTCTCCGTTCCACACAGGGAACAGGCTCCTCTCTTTTCCCATCACTTCTGGCAGGCTTTCTCTCTGGGTGAGGTTTGGATGACAAAAATGAAACAAGCTACATAACTTCCCACTGACGGAGCTTGCTTGTGTCCTTGCTGCCCTGTGTGTTGGCTCGGTGCTAGGAGCAGGGATTTGAGCAGCTAGAAATCAAGCTGCAGATAGCAGCTGCCTATAGACCCTGAGAAGCTGTTTGTGCTGTAGTGGCTATAGGCAGCAACCCTGATGCTGATGTGCTCTGCCAGCTCTGTTGTGGGGAGTTTGCTGTGAGAGGGATGCAAAGCAGCTCGCGCCTCCCTTGGACACAGAGCTGGCACTTAAACCTGGGCTGTTATGTGGCTGGAACCAGGAAAGGGGTTTCCCAATCCCTCAAGAGCCCCAGGGCTGCAAACCAGTTAAGTGCTGCTAATAACACCTATCAGGCCAAATTCCTATCAGGCTTAATCTCATTGTCTCATCCTAACACTTGACTCCCTCCCAGCCCTGTTTTCCTGGCTGGTTTCTACCCCAGAGTTCTCGTTGGGAAAAGGCCCTTTGGCACGCAGCATCCACAGTGCACATGTGTTGCTGAAGGACAGCTGAGTCCTAGTATTGAATTCTCTTTTCCAGCCCAAAACACTCCTCTGGGATTCCCTCTTGGCCATTCCCCTCTTCCTGGGGAACAGCAATCACATCGGTTGGCCTTTGTGCATCAAGGTGGCAAGTTTAATCCAGCACAGATTAGTTCCAACCTAGTTTTACCTTCTAATACGCTGGGCTGCGGGGAAAGAGTTCATCCTGATGGGGAGCAGGTACCTGCTTCTCCCACCCCAGCAGGCACGAGCATCCCTCAGCCCCTTCCCAGCCCCAGCAGGCAGGGAGGCTGGCATCAAGCACAAAGAGCCCAGCGAGTGCTTGGCCTGATGCTTTTTGGGGGATGCTCCTTTTTGGGGAGCAACGAAGGATCTGGCTTGGCTCAGGCTGTCTTGCAGGTAGCTGGGACTTGTGTGGCTGAATTTATTGGCTTAGAGAAGTCTCTGTGCCCCAGGAAAGGCTGTTGAGGGCAGGAGCACAGGAAAGGCAGAGGCTTATTAAGCAGTTCTTATTAATAGAACATGCCCCTTAAAATGGGAGCTTTCGCAAAGGGCTCTAGGAGGAACTTCGGCCACTTAGGGCTGAGTCTGAGTCACCGGCCCTGGGGACTGAATTCCTGTGTGCTATTGTGAGCCTTTGCCTTATCGCAGTCACAGCCAGGCTTGCATACAATGTGGAGGGAGGACTGCCTTTGAAATACGCTCCCCTGTTGCTTCCTTTGCCCTAGAGCAGAGCTGTGACACAGGTGGGCTGTCCGGTTCCTTCCAGTTGAAGTGCAAGGGGACTGGGTCCTGGGTGCGTGCTTGTGTCACCCATCCTGCTCTGGTACCATGCTGGCAGGGGCTGTTGGTCCCTCTACCCATTGTGTATGGATGTAACATTCCCTTCAGTCTTTGCTGTGCTGCTCCTTGCTCCCATGGAAATGCAGGGTTTTGCTCTCGCATCCCATCCTGTTGGAAGGGGGAAGCTGTTTGCTGCTCCTGCAGGGCAGGAATGAAGCTGTGACCTGGTGCCCAGGGGATGCTCTACCCCTGTTTAGAGTCTCAGTGATGTTTTCAAGTTCCTAATACAGAGCCTATTCAGTGGCAATAGCAGTGGGTAACACTACTCTGCTCTCTGGTGACTTCTTTTGCTGGCTGAGCCCAGGTCTCGAAGCTGAATCGGGCCTTTTGTGTTGGGCTGGCAAATGATACCCCTGGGTAGAAAATAACAGATAAATGAAATTGAGTTGACACAGGAGAGGGAACTGGGAGCTTTGCTTTCCACCACAGTTCTCTATTTGAGCTGGTGTCCATGGTGAAAAGGGAAGTCTGTGCCACGCTGGTTTAGTGGGCATGGTTGGGAGGAGGGGATGGCAGTCACTTCTGTCCTAGGGGACTTCCTATAAAATCTTAGCTCAGCTGCAGGTAAAAGACTTGCCAAAGCGGTGGTAAACTGGCTGTAAAGGCATCTGGATTCCCTGGGTAGATCCAGGCTGTCCCAGCAAGGAAGGAGGGAGCAAGTGTGGGCTGGAGGGGTCTAGAGATGTGCTATAGAGTTGGGGTATCAGGCAGTGATCAAGTGTGAGAGACTTGGGGCAGGCTGTGGCAGCATGAACCAGGCATCAGCTTGGGTGTGCAGTGCTGCTGGAGCTGGCTCAGCACATTGCATGCGGGAATAGCTCCTCCTGGAAGAAAGGGGAATGTGCTTTGCAGGGCATGTGGTTACTGATGCCTGTGTGGATTTCATGCAGTCCTGATGCCCTGGAGCCTGCACGTGGGGCTGCTTTGGGGTAGTGGTTTCATTAATCACAAGTGGTGCTGCTCCACTGCCAGTGCCAGAGATTCTAGATTCCTGGTGACCCATTCCTGCCTTCCTTGTGAGAATGGAGAGCAGTGGTGGGGAGCACATGCCCAGAGGAGGGAACAGCCTCAGCCCTCTCTCCACTCTAACCCCTGGAGAGGTTTTATCTTGGACAGGCCACGCTCAAGCTGTGCAGATGTCAATGATTTCTGCACTGAAGAATGTGGTGCTGCTGCTGAGCACACATCAGTCGTTGAGCTGTGCTGGAGCTGGGCGGTGTGGGAGGGGAGAGGCAGGAGCAAGACCCTGCTGCTTTGCATAGCGGTGTTGATGGCAGGGCATGGTGGTGGAGCTGGCTGGGCAAGCTGTGGTCTGTTCTTTTGGGGACCTGAAGGGTTCTGAGGTGGGTCTGGGGATGAGCAACCAGAAGTGACCCTCTACAGCCTGAGCAGGGCAGTGGGGGAAATGGGGAGAGAGTCTGCGAGTGAGAGCCTGTTCCTTGCCCCAAGATGCAGGTCCTCTCTTGGGTGCGTGCTGTTCTGCAAACACTGCCAGTTCTATTTGCTGGCCCTCAGAGTTTACCCAACAACTCTGACATCAGAGTGCTTTTTGCAAGGACTAGGAGTCCTTGCTGGGAACAGGGGCCTGACCCCTGTGCTGTGCATGCTTAAGCAGGGAAGTGGGGAGCTGAAACCTTGGGTGAGCAAAAAAAGGGGTTCCTGCCTTTATTCCAAAGGCACATGGGGTTCAGTGCAGTTGGTGGGGAATCTGAGACCCCAGAGGCATTCCCCTTGCACTGGAATGTTAATGACAAGGTGTGGAGGGATTCAAGCCATTTGCAAGCTTCCTGGCGCAGTTGCCCAGATGTGGCTCTCTGGGAACTGCATAGGTCTGATGGGTGATGCTGCATTTGTACGTTTTCCTCTGCATCTTTAACCTTGGGGATATTATTCTGTTTCAGGAATTTCTCTGTGACCCAAAGTTCAGCGATGAAGAAGATCTGGAGGAGAAGTTGGCAGTGTTCAAAGGTGAGAACTGGAGGCTTTCCTTGTCCTTTCAGCCCGTTTGCTCTGAACAGATTACTTTCCTCTGTGCTTGGAGGTTCTCTGCCAAATCCAAGTGACTGAGCTGGCATGGATGCCTCCCCCTTGCTTGTGGGATGCAGTGAAACTCCCTGGAGAGGTGTTTTTTTTTCCCACAGGAGCCTCTGTGCTTCCCTGACTTGCAGGGCAGGGACATGTCACCCTGCAGACATCGTGCCTGGCGGCTGCTGCTACTGCAGAACCTGCTGCGTGGGCAAAACCCCAGGGAGCAGCAAAGGAGGATGGTTTCTGTCTGGTTACCTACACAAGCTAGCTGGTATAATGGATGATGCAGTCCATCTTCTCTCAGTGAGTAGGAGGACTTCTTCCCACAGAGGAAAGGTCTCAGCTGCTTCCTGAAGGAGTTGAAGCCTTCCTCTCCCCAGGAAGAGAGTCCCCAGACTCTTCAGTCTGATTTAGACCTTCCCAAGCCCCCCAGGTACACAAGGAAACGGCAGTGAAATGTGTCTTAATCCTGGCCAAAGCCTACCTACAGGGGGTCAGCACATCTGGGGCTTAGGTTCTGGCCATTTGCTGGGATAGAGAAACAGCTTGAAAACTTGGGGTCCTCTGGAACTGGTCCCCAAGGTGGTTGCAGGGCAGGAATTGGCAGGGCTGTTCTGGGTGCATCCACTTTCTTTCCAAGCAGTGGCTGAAGGCAGTTGAGAAAACATGCCTTCTGCGTCACACTGCCCTTAAGGCTTGTCCTCAACCTGGCTCTAACCAAACAGAACCTGACCTTGCTTCCATTGCAGGCATTGTTTGTTATTTCCATTTGAATTTTGGCTTTGCAATCCAGCAAGGAAGAAGCTGGCTGGGGTTTTGTGATCCCTTACTCTGCTGGGCACAGAGGAGCCTCCTGTGCTCCCTGTTCTTTCTCTGTTGCCTTTTGTATGGCTTTGGCTTTTGGCTGCAGCCCTGCATTATTTTTCCCATCACAACTGGGGCTCTTCAAACATTGCAACCGTAGGTCAGAGGCGCAGAATCCCCTGTAATGAGAGCCTTTGGCATCTCCCCCCGCTGCCTCGTGAGCTTGCCTCCGTGGCCTGTCCTGCTCTCCAATGCCTCCTCCGGCTCTGCCAACAATCGGCTCATTGTGTGATGATGGGGGGGGGAATGTTTCTTCTCCTCTGTCCTCCCCAGCCGGGCCTGGGGAGCCCCCGTACACTGCTTCTGTAAATGCATTCGTGAGGGGAGGGACCATGCGTGGTTTTATCTCACTAAATCCCTGCATCTGGGGTGGGAGGGAAAGATGTGAGCCGAGGCTCAGAGCACAACGATGTGAAGCTGCCTCTGTTCTCTCTGCTTTTGGCCGAGCGTCAGCTGAGAAGGAAAGAAAATGTGTGCTGAGCACAGACATGGCAGAGCAGGGTTTGTGCCCCCGGCACACGCTGGGGTGCCTGACCCCTACCCAGGGAGGTGGCAGTGCATGTACACAGGGTCACGATGGTGCGGCAGGGTGTGGGGAGAGCCAGTTGCACAGCAAGCATTGCTTTGGCCCCGAAGCATGTGTGTGACAGCCCCGATTTCACCTAGGATTGGTTGCTCCGTTATTGAAGGGAGACCTTTATCCCTGCCTGAAGCATAGACAGCTTAGTTTTGTATGTGGTATTCCTGTAGGGTCTGTCCTGGTCAGCTTGTGACAGCAGTAATCCCTCAGTTAAGATCCAGATGAAGACATGCCAAGCCGTTCCTCTGCTTCCTGCCTGTAGCTGCCCATCACTCCAGTTAACCCAGCACTTTCCCTTCAGAAACACAGGTCACAGGAAGGCTCTGATGTGTGAAATACCCACTCTTGCCTTTAGCTCCTTAAATCACCCTGCCACTTCTCTGTTCACGCTCATCCACTTGCTGGTGCCCCTGGAGCAGAGGCAGAAAGTCCTTTTCCCTTGGGGGAAAGGAGCAGCTGGGGAGGTCTTGCTTAATTTGAGCCCTCTGAGGCTGTTGTGGGGAGTGCTAACTGCAGGGCAGCGATCTCTACAGCTCAGCGTGGATGGGTGGTGGCAGCAGGCAGCTTGCTCCTCTCATTTAGCAGAAGCGAGATGATGGGGGGCCCCCTGCGGTGCTGGGAGCTATAAGACAGACAAATCCTTGCCTGAAGAGCTTAAAGTCTAAATGGGGAGCAGCTAGCATGGAGAGGGGAGGTAGGAAGAGCAGGTGTGCCATTCCAAAGGTCAGAAACAGCACAGGATGGATTTGAGTTGAATAACCAGGATTTTGGCGCTCTTTTGTCCTGCAAAGCTAAACCAGACCTTCCTGAGCCGGCTCTGCCTTTCTCTGAGGATGCTGGAGTTGCCTGTTCGGCAGTGTTTGACACGAGGCTGGAAGGGCAAACAACCTGCTCCAGCCTAACTGCTCCTAGGTGTGCTCTTGGCTTTGCCCTCTTGATGTGGTCCTTGAGCATCCCTCCTGCAAGGTGCTGCTCTGGGAGCACAGCACACAGCGTTGGGAGAACTGCAGAGTCTGACCCTTGCTATTGCAGGCAGCTGTGTCATTTAATCTCCCTCCTAATCCGATCAAGATTCATTTTGAGAGTGTTCAGAGTGTTGTTTTCCTTGCTACTCTTTCTGGGAGTCTGTTCCAGAGCTTTGTTTTTCTTGCTGGCAACCGTCTAATGCTGTTCGTGGCTAGCTGATACCTTGTTCTCATGCCAGTGTTTTCCTTCGGTGCAAATGAAGAGCAGCCACAATTAAAGAGCACTTAACTCTAGAGCTCTGGAATTGAGATGTGTGATAAAACCACGTCTGGAGATGGTCTCACTCTCTGAAACTGTACCAGTCTTATCCCCAAACCTTTTATTTCACTGCTGTAAGCAGGCAGTGCCCCAAAGCCCTGCACACCCCCTACTCTAGCATCATGCTAACTTGCTTCTGTGTCTCTTCCAGAGAAGTACATGGAGTTTGACCTGAACAACCAAGGCGAGATTGGTGAGTGATGCAGGGATGCTGGGCTGCAAGTGCAACTGCTCACCGAGCTGGTGTCTGCTGTTACATCAACTGCTTCCTTCTGTGCTTGTGTTGCTGAGGAGGAAAACCAGTGTTCTTTTCCCTGTGTCCAGCCTTGCTTGGATCTTCATTGCCATTCAGGGGCTTCCTTGGCTGTTCAGCCCCTGCCTATCGGTCTCCCTTCACCTGCTTCGAGATCTAAGCTCTTCTCAGCCCTCACCCCAGGTTTCTGCTTAGCTCTTCCGCTCTCTGATCTAAATGCCCTTTAGAAGTTTTTAACATCTCCCTTTTTTCTCCACTGAGGTCATCCTCTCAACCCGCAGCATTTCCAGGGAAGCTGCAGGGCTTGGATGCTTTGCCTGGCTTGAGGCAGAAGTGTGTAAGACCAAGAAGCTCTTTGCTTTGCTGGGAGGGGAGCGGAGGGAAGCAGGGACTTGGGTGTGAGTCTGGCTCCTCTGAGCAGCCTTGGTTTGGGCCCCAAAAGCACCGGTTATGTAAAGATCTGGCCTGGAGCTGACACTGCAGTGCAGTCGCTCGCATGCTGTGCCCTTCCAGGAGGCTGCTGCCTTGTTCCCCTCCTCCATCAGTCCTCAAGCTGAAGGAGAGCCCTGACTCAGGGCTGAGCTGCTGTTTCCTGGAGGGAAGGGGCCACAGCTCTCAGTGCAATGGAAGGAAATGGCCTGTGGTGATGGGCACCTGCTCCCCACAGCCTGTTTGTCTCTGGCGTTAACCCCAGCGTTGCTTCCCTCCTCCCCATCATTGTGATTCTTGGCACCATGCTCTGAGCTGGAGAGCAGTGTCCTCGCGAGTCTACGGAGCACTTGGAGAGCTGTTCCTCCTCTCTGTGGTGTTTTCATCTTAAGCTGCATAAATAGGAAGTCGATGCTCTGTACTGGGCAGTAAACTGTACTGGGAGGTTTCTCTTGGCTTTCGGCAGCAGCTTAATGCTGTCAGCCTTGGAGTCTGCAAGGGAGGTGGGAATTCATTCCTACGTCCATAGGGTTGGTCTGTGCTTGGTGTAGTCACCTCAACACCAATCGCTTTGCTCTTGCAGACTTGATGTCTGTCAAAAGAATGATGGAGAAGCTGGGGGCTCCAAAGACCCACCTCGAACTGAAGAAGATGATCTCGGAGGTGACCGGAGGGGTCAGCGAGACCATCTCCTACCAGGACTTTGTCAACGTGATGCTTGGGAAACGCTCTGCTGTGCTCAAACTGTGAGTGTCCCTGGGAGCAGTGGGGAAGCAGACGTTGTTCTGCCTGGTGGAGGTGGAGCTGTGCTCGCTTGGTGTTCCTGGAGGGCAGACAAGAATCCTTGTGAAGGGGGAGTTTGCAGAGAGACATGAGGGTGTGCAAGCTCACGGCGAGGCTGAGCAGTGGCGAGTACTTGCAGCAGAGCTGCCTGCTGTGTGTTAGCACAGGCTTCCTCCCACAGGCTCCATGCAGAGCCATTCTCCTCTCCTGAGGGCGTGCAGGCACTCAGCACTGCAGGGCTCCTTCCCGTCCCTGCCCTGTGGCTCCCGCTGGCTTTGGGGACACAGGTTTCCCTGTGAACGGTGGCAGGACTTGAGTGGTGAGTGATGGTCCTGCCAACAGCGGCAGCGCTGGCTCCGGTTTCCCACAGGATGCTCCCTCCCTGCCTGATTGTGGAGACATGGGCAATAGATGGAGATGCGACACAAGCTTGAAACAGCCAGCTTGCGCTGGGAGAGGTTTTCTGCAGTATAGGCTGCCAGCATTAGCCTCCCATGGCCCCCTCTGCCCTCTCGACAGGGCTCTGAAAGTCCTGGTGTCACAAACGGCTTCCAAACACTTGCTTGGCTCCATCTCCACCCCATTGAAGCCCGGCTTTTCCTTTCACAGCCACAGAGGCCGGCCCTGCTTTTGTATCTGTAGCCACCATGAATAGGAGCTGCTCCTCTCCTTCCTCCTCACCCCTTTCTGAAGGCAGCTTTAGAAGCACAGCCAGCTTTCAGGGCAGGTTGGGAGGAAGGACCTTGTGCCCACCTCTTATGTGGTCCTTCTAAGCCAGTGCATGCTTGTTGGCCATGGGTCTCTCTTCTCCCCACCGAGTACACTGTGCCTGTATGTTGGGATGCTCCTCTTCCAAGCACACGCAGACTTCTGGCACCCCTCCTCTTCCTTCCTTTCCCCACCAGAGCAGGCTGAGCTTGTCTCGTATCTCCCATCTTTCCTCCCAGCTTCAGCAGCTTTCACAGATGGGTCCCTTCTCTTGCTGAACAGACGCCCCATTGTCTGTTTGGCTCTTTAAAGCAGGAGCAGAAATGTAAAACTCGTGGCAGGAGCAGTGCAGCCCTTTGATCCAGCGTGGCAGCTGGCATTCCCAGCGTAGCTGCAGTCCTCGGGGAGGAAGACAGTGCGAGTGCTTGCAAAATGCTTGGGATTCTTCTAGCCAGTGCCTTGCTCTTTGTCTCTGCCCTCCTCCCTGCCTGTTGCTCGCTTGCTGTTGGCTTTTGAATGTTCTGCTGTGTACAAGGTGGGCCAGGGATAGAGTTTGCTTTTACGCATCAGGAGTGCTTGGCGTGCAGTGTGCATCGAGTGTGGCCGTCTAAAACGCGCAGATCCTCTGGGCTTTGAGAGGAAAACCAGCAGAGGTTTTAGGAACCCACTCCTGGGAGCTGCTGGGAAAGCAAAGCTCCCACCAGCCCGGCGGCACTGCCCTCTGTTGGCTTTCCCTCCTCTGCTAATTGCCGATCCCTCCTTTGCATAGGAGGCAGATGCTATTTTTCAGCAGAGAACATAATCCCACCCCCAGTAATGGGTAAAGATACAGCCACGTTTTGGTTTTATATTCATATTATCTGTTCTGCTTTGCAGGGTGATGATGTTTGAAGGAAAAGCCAACGAAGGCAACCCAAAACCTTCTGGTCCGCCTCCGGAGAGAGACATAGCCAGCCTGCCTTGAAGAGGACAGGCTGGATAACAGGCACTGTTTGCTTTGCTGGTCTGTAACAGAGGTTACCTGTGCTTTGTTACTCTTTACTACGGACAGTCCTAGTTTTTGACTAACCTGCCTTAGAGGAACAGCAAGGGAAGCTGGAGACCCCCAGTTTGTGTCTTTCTGCTGCATCCCTTAGCAACGTGATTTGTTAGACAGAAGCTGTAGCATCAAGTATAACGTGAGACCAAAAAAAACCATAATCCTGTGACCTTCCTCTTTCCTCTGCCCTTCCTGCATTTCTCAGATGAGGAGCTAACTTTCCTCCCAGTGTAGGGATTCAGAGGTGTGCTTGTCCTGCCCTTGGCCTTGCAGCCAGACATTGAGCATCTCTCTGACAGCAGTTTCATGGGTGCAAAGAACTAAGTGCCTTCTCGTCTCTGCCCTACACTTCCTGACTTTGGACTCGTTTTTCCCCTCCTGACCTCACCAAAACACAAGTCGGGCTCACACCTCTGTGGCTTATCTGATGCTAGGTGAATGCTGGAAGGTGCATGGACACAGAGGTGTGCCTGCAGGGCCTTTCACCTTGGAGGTGGGCACAGTGACTGCAGGGACAGCTTCTGCCCACTCCTTGGGTTCATCCTGCAGTCAGATCTTAGTGGGTCCACTTGCCACTGCAAGCGAGGAGGGTAAAAGCTACCGGAGGGTCCCCCTTCCTGATAAATCTCTGCTTGGATCCAGTCAGGAGCATAACCTCCCAGCAGGTTATCTGTCCTATCCATCGAGTGCAGAAACAAGCCTGCTGTTCTGCCTTTGCAGCCCCTCAGGGAGGCCAAGGGGACATTAAACCTTCAGGCGAAAGGAAGTTGGGTGACTGAGCTGTGAGGTCTGTCCTCATGCACATGCTCTGCCCCCCTGTGTGTCTTTCAGTATGGTCCCCTGCACTATGAGACAAGCCCTCAAGCCTGCAGAATCAGAATGGGTGTAAGTGTGGGCTATGAGCTGGCATCCAGATATAGCTGGGCCTGTGCTCCCCACACCGTGGCTACTGCAGGGATTCTTGCTCTATACTTGCTTTCTGGAATCCAGATGTTTCCTCTTTGCCCGTTCCCTCCTCTTTTCTTACATTTTCTTGGCAGCTTTTAACTTTTTTTTTTAAAAATCATGGTTTAATAAATAATTTTTGAAAGGAAACGCTGATGATTGACTCCGCTGGGCGATGGCTCCTGCCAAAGGCTGCACTTGGAAATAAAACCCAACATTCTTGCTACTGTTTGCGTGAAAACCAAAGCTGTAACGGGACGGGAAAACGATGAGCAAAAGCAGCACCAGTCTACTTTAAGGACTGAAAATAAATCTTCTGAAGCTACACTGTGTGTCAGTGTATTTAGTTTAGCTCCTCTGAAGCTTCATCTGTATGACTGATTGCAGATTAAGTGTGCTGGTTTCCAAGTCTGTTAATATAAACCCTTAAATAGATCCTAGAGATAGGTTTGGGCTGTCTTGGTCTGATCTTTATCTGTAATAACTGAGTGCTGTGGAGTTTGTGTTAGGAAATGCAGAGGCTGCCTGCTAAAAGCTGCCTTTTCTTGATTTACTGAAGGGAGCAGGTGGTGGTGCTTGTTGAAGGAATAACTTGTTTATCAAGAGCCGACACTTGCAGTGCTCCTCTTGAAAGAGGTTTTGGGTTGTTATTTTTTTCATCCTCTCTGCTCTTGAAGCAATTGCCTGAGGTTCTTGTCTGATGTGAGCTATCGAAATGGAGACCAGGCTTCCTGGGGGGATAACTGTATATGCTTTTCCTATGTGTTCCTCAAAAGGACAGCACTGCCCTTAGATCAGAGCCTGCGTTTGCTTTCTGCTGCCTCTTAGCCTCTGGGACCGCACCTGCTTTATTGGATGTGTGTGTTAAAGCTGTTGTTGGGTTAGACAATAAAGGGAGCACATCCCACAAGGGAAACGGGGTTGTGGTTTGCCACAGTTCAGGTCATGCCCAAAGCCATCGCTGCCTTGTGTCTCTGTGGTCCTGGAGAAGAGAAGCACGAGAAGCACAACCCGATGGAGCTGGGAACAGCCTTTCAAACGTGCCCTTGTCTCTATAGGGCTAAACGCCAAGGTGATGCGCTGGCGCTGAGTGGGGCAGGGGGCAGCAAGGCGAAGCCCTGTTAAAGCCCGCACTGCTCCCATGGGTCCCAGAGCACCAACCGAATCCGCTCACAGCTTCCCAGCTCACCCCCCCGGAGGTGCCCAGGGACCACCCCGACCACCGCACCGGGCGCTCCCACCGCAGCCCCCGCTACCGGGAGCGGGATGTGCTTAGAGCTCCAACAAGGGCGGCGCACAAAGCACCGGAGCCCCTCACTGTGGGCTGAGGGAGGCGGCGGAGCAGCCCCCGCCCCTCGGGGGCCGGTCCCCTTTGGGGCCTCCGCGCCTGGGCACCAGCGTTCATCAAGCCCCGCTCCGCCTTCACCCTCCCGTCCCCGCCTGGCGCAGCGCGGCCGAGGCGGAGCCTGCTGGAGGACCGCGGAGCACGGAGAGCGCGGCCCGCCCGGAAGCGGAAGTGAGCGCAAGCGGCGGGGGATTCCCGGCTGTGGCAGAGCGGCGGGGACCGCGGGCCATGGGGGACGACATGGACGTGATCCCCGAGCGGGAGATGAAGGTGAGCGGCGGGGAGCGGGTTTGGCTTGGGGCCGCTGTGGGCCGTGAGGGGAAAGGGGGCTTGGGGAGGGCTCGGTTCTGCGCTGTGAGGGGTGGTGGGTTATGGGGTACATAGGGCTGCGTGGTGTTGGCTCGGGTCATGGCGGCCCCCTTTGAGGCGGCCCTGGGGGGGTTGTGTGGGGCGGAAGGGGGAAGAGTGCGGCGTGGGCGTTGTTGGGGAGGGTGTTGGTAACGGCTGCGGAGGGGAGAGGTGGAATGTGAGGGGTGGAGGAGCCTTTGGGGAGCGATGTGCTGAGTGCTGCCGCCAGCACGCCGTGTGCTGGGGATCCGCTTTGGGAAGAGGCGCCTGTGGCTGTCTGCTATGGGGCAGTGTAAACTGCAGGGTCGTGCCGGGCTCTGCCGTTGCTGTGTTGACCGGAATGTAGGAGCAGGGACATGGGGGTACGGATTCCTGAAGCCCACGCCGGTGTTTGTGTAGCTGGTTTCTGCTCAGGCACCTGCACAAACAAGGGAGTTGGGCTGTTTGTTTTGTGGAAGTTTATGAGTTCTGCAGCCTCCTCAGGCCGAAGGAATGTTCTTACTCAGTGCTTTAGCAGTAATCTGGAACACACAGCTCAAATGCTTGGTTTGAGTTACTGGCCTTAGACCCAGTGCTCTGTTCGGCAGCTGGCACCTTGGGAAGTGAGGCTCATTCCTAAGGGGATGCTCAGGTTTTGCATGATAATAGTGGAGCTGAGGTTTCTTAAGTCAGTTTGTGTTTTGGGAGGTTTTTATCTCCTCTCCCTTTTGCAAAGCGGCAGTGTAAATTATAAAGAGAAACAAATGCAAAGAATAACATTATACAAAGTAATTACTGGGATGGGTGGTAGGAATTACTGTGTCTGTTCAGTGTGTTATAAAGTACCCTAGCAAGCAAAGATGCATCTAAGCAGATGTGTGCTTTTGTTCAAGCATGGTGTGTTTCTGCTATGTTCCCTTCTCTTTCCTTTTCGTTCTGTACCCGTTGGCTAGTTTTGGTATGTTTTTGAGGAGGTAGATGTATTCAGCTCCAACAGGTTTTATGAACATAGGCAGGGGGTAGAAGAGAGATTCAGCGATTGGAAAAATGTGGTGTGATTTCTGCCTTTCTTAGATAAGGCAGAAAATGGGATGGGATGGTGAGAGACAGTGTGGATGTGGACTTGGCCTTGGCAGGTTTGGCAGCTCTTGTGGAGAGGATTTTCAGCTTGCTGTCTTACAGAAACTGAAGTAAACTATTCCTTTTCACCAGCATATGTACAACTACTTCCCGATTGTCTTGCCACAGGATTTTCAGTTCAGAGCACTGAAGAAGGTCAGGATCTTCGATGCCCCTGATGATCTTCCCAAAGAGCGCTCCAGTCTCCTTGCGGTGTCTAACAAATATGGGCTGGTCTTTGCTGGTGGAGGAACCAGCCTGCAGATCTTTCACACTAGAAATCTCCTCATGCAAAACCAGCTGGGAGAGGATCCCAATAAAATTGGTAAGGTGCACTTGGGTTTCATGGTCTTTGCAGAGACAGCTTTATGTGGTTTTCTATGATATGGAGCTCTTGGCTTCTGATACAGCCCTTGTCATGCTCTTAAGTGTGCTTGAAATTACCACATTTTCTTGTGCAGAAGGCAGGAACAATATTTGCTGCATTTCTAGCAGAGATGAAGTGCAGTTGTTGGGAACATGTCACCAGAATGCTCTGTGGTGACTCCTCTCCCAGTGTCATTCAGGTTTGGTCATCTGTGCTCAGTGCTGTACAATGAGGTTGCCTTTTTCCCTGTAGCCACATGTTGCTTTGGTGGCCAGTCTTTGAACCATGAACTTGTGCACGCATCAGGGATGTGAGTGAATGGAGGGGCAAAGTTCTCGCCCTGAGTTACCTGCCCTGGCTACATGGTTGTCCTCTAAGAGAGGAAGCAATCGCTGTTCCACCACCTAAGTTCTAAATACACCAAAGTGCAAAATGATTTTCATTGTCCTTAGTAACTGTACCATCTGAGGTATTCATGTGCATGCATAAGTAAACCCAAAAATCTGTCCACTTATTTTTCCTCCAACTTAGGAAGAAAAGTGGAATTTTCTCTTCTTTTTTTTTGGCAACTATTGAGACTGTTGGTGGAGATCAAGGGATTTGCTTTCACTTAGTTTTTCTAGACATTAACTTTGATGGTGGGTGATTTTTGCATTAACTTGTTCTAATGGTATTGTTTTTCAGGAAGACTTTTTGCTATTGAAATTTGTCCCCTTTATTTTATCTTTCTTTCCTTTTGTGTTTTAAGTGGAGAACGTTCAGAGTACTTCAGTTCCCATGAAGTTTCCAGTGCAGCACCTGGCTTTAAGCTGTGATAATCTCACGCTGTCTGTGTGTATGATGTCCAGTGAGATCGGTTCCTTCATTGCCTTTTTTGATGTCCGCACATTCTTAAACCAGGTAAAGTGTATGGAAAGTGGGTTGAGGTTTGGGGTTTGTTTTTGTTTTTCAGAATACAGCAAGAGGAGAGGCATAGCTTGGGTGGGATTTTCTGTCTCTGTGATATATCTTGTAAAGGAGTTGCTCAGTAAACTCAAAATATGCTGCTTATTTTTTTTATCCATCATTAATTTAAGAAAGATCAAAATGGTTTTGAATTATGAATCTGGGGGGAGCTTGACTTTGTGCTCAACTTCGACCATCTCATGTGTTTTTCTTTCCTAAAAGGCAAAACAGCAGAAGCGTGCATTTGCTTATCACAAACTGGCCAAGGACTCGGGAAGCACAGCAGTGGTCAATGACCTGAAGTGGAACCCAGCCAGTCCTGCCATGGTAGCCATCTGCCTGTCTGATGGCAGCATCTCTGTCCTGCAGGTCACAGACTCTGTGAAAGTGTATGCCACGCTGCCTTTCACTGTAGCTGTTACATCTGGTGAGTGGCAGCCTCTGATAGCGTGCAGAGTATCTGACACTGGACAGGAGAAGCAGACTGGTAGATGTAAAAAGAATCAAGCTGTTTGTCTCAGGAGGAGGTTTCTTAATGAAAAATCCTTCACAAAATGAAGGATTTAAACTCCCTGAGACTCAGAAAATATGTTGCAATGTGGCCACCTTTAGTTTGTGCTGTCTCAGGCTCAATTTATTTCCAAGGAAGCATGTTATAAGGGTCATTATCTGTTGGGTTTTGATCTGTGCAGTCTTGCTTTCTCTGTGACTGTTTAATTCAGATTAATTTTTTTTTTCCAGGGGAGAAAAACTGTGGTTTTAATTTGTTGGTTCTGCTTTTGTGAGGCCTTGTAACTCTCCAGTTCCTTAGAGCTAATGAAATTCTCTTTTTTGCTTAGTGTGTTGGAGCCCAAAGGGAAAACAACTGGCTGTAGGGAGACAAAATGGCACCGTGGTGCAATATCTGCCTGTAAGTATGGTTTGTAGTAAGGCCTTATGTCTGTTCATTACTTTGTAATATGCTTTATTTTCCTCGTGTCACAAGCTACAGAATTTAATCAGGTGGCACATGGTGTGAGCTATATGAAGCTGCTCAAGTGCTTCAGTAATTCAAGTGTCTTAGACCAATGATGGGTTTAGTTTAAGGTTTGCACCTTACACTGAGAAATCATGATTTCAGCGTGGCGCAAAGTGAATGTTAAAGAGTGGGTGCTCAAAACCAGTTCTCTGGGCTTTCTTCAAAGCTTGCAGTTGGCTTTGTTTGTTGGCTTATTCTTTGTATTTAAGCATGGTTTCATTTGCAGAATCTGCAGGAGAAGAAAGTGATCCCTTGTCCTCCTTTTTATGACTCGGACAACCCTGTTAAAGGTACATCTTGTTTTCTCTTTTCAAATATTTCTGCTCATTCAACCTCATGTTGGGTTTAGTTCTAGCAGCTGTATACTGCACTGGTTATATAATTACAGTGTGGGTTTTAAATACTTGGAAAAAATAATTATATGTTTTAGCTCTGGGTTGTGTTACAAAAATTACCAGTTGGCCAGGGTGCTTGTCTATTTCTGGAATGCTTTAAATACGCATATTAAAAGCTATTTTTTGCTCACTGGAGTGATAGACAATACTGTCACAAGCAGCCTCCATTTAGCAGGAAGGTTTCTGGATATATATCCCATTCTCGTGTCTCCTGTGAGTTTTATCCCATCATGTCTCTTCAATAAAATGTCAAAGCAGTAAGTTTAGAAAAACAAACACTTGGTATGGACATGCCAGAACATCAGCCATGTTTGGAAACACTGGCAGTGTCTGGCCTGTGATAAAAACAAGTAAATCAAATACATTCTTTGTTTGAAATTTCTGGGATTAAATAGGGCTGTTTTTTTTTCTTCCCCTAACAAGATTGATGTTCTCCAGACATACCACTGAAATTCTTTATCTTGGAAGTTATTCCTTGTTTGCTTGTTTTGTCATTTACTTTTCTCTGCTGTGCAGTGTTAAAATCAAGGTACAAGGAAGTATCATTCTGAAGTATTCCTGGCTGAGGTATTTGCTTCCTTCTCTTCCAGTTTTGGATGTGCTGTGGATTGGCACATATGTCTTTACTATTGTGTATGCAGCAGCTGATGGGACACTGGAAACACCTCCAGAAGTGGTCATAGCCATATTGCCTGTAAGTGCCAGAAAGTCACTAAAACAGGAGTGTTTGTTGGTTGTTCTTGACTTATTACAATGGCAAGTTGCTTTTATTAGTCACGTTAGTATTGTATAGACTTTGAGTTTGGTGCGACTGTAAATTATGGTTTTGGGGTTGGGGGGTTTGAGTGGAGGTAATAGTATCCACTTGAATGCCAATCAGTAACTTGTTCTCTGGTGAGATCAAGTTATGACAGGAATACTTCTATTATCTGAAGTAAACAGGTGGGAAGAAAACCTAGCCAAAATAAGAGACACACACACAAAAAATATGTATGAGGACTCTACATCACTTAGTTAAGGAGATTTTAAGGCTTGATGATATGCTTTTCCTTGGTATAAGGTTATTCATTACTGGGGAGGCAGGGGCTGTGAGATTTAAATTCCCTGGTAGCCTCTTTATTGTTCCTTTTGGAAGGAGGGTTTTGGTTTGTTTGCTTTGTTCTTTTTTAAGTGGTCTCATGATGCCTGTTCTCTCTTGAAGTATGTAGCAATTATTGGTGTACCCTGATGCAGTGGTATTTCTGGGAAAGTACTTGATTTCTGTGATGGAAGGTAAATTATCAATGTTTGCTTTGCAGAAAAAGGAAGAGAAGCGACCAGAGAAGTTTGTGAATTTCATGGAGCCTTGCTACGGGAGCTGCACAGAGAGACAGCATCATTACTTCCTCAACTATGTTGAGGAATGGTAAGTGGTAGGAATCATGGCAGAATCTTCCTGTTGTTTCTCATGTCTGAGTGGTCAGTGCTTCTCTGTATGTTATGTCCCTCCTTTTTGTGAAGTACATAATACCTGAGGGTGAGAGAAATTAACTGAAACTATTATCTTGTAAATGCTTTGTTAAAGTACAGCTAATTTCTCCTACATGCTTTATCTCAGTGCCAACATACTCATTTGTCTGGTGTTATCTTGTTATATGTTGGTTGAAGCACAACCTTTTGTCTTGCTTAACTGTGTGTGAAGCAGCTGTCCCTAACTTTTCAACTACTTAACTTGAACCATCATTACTTATGATGATAAAGTGTCAAGTCATTGGAAGGCAAAGGGATTCAGCCCCTGGTGGCTAGCTTTAAATAAAAAAAAACCAAAGCCCCATCAAAACAAAATAAATGTTCTATAGTGGTGTAACCAATCATGCCTCCCTTAGGAGGCAGTTAAAAACATCCAAAGATGTTTTCATCTCGGGAAGAAAAGTCAGTTTTATAGTCTCATAACGTAGTTTTTAATTCGTACAGATTATAATGTGGAGCTGGGGGCCTTGTTGGTTTTGACCTGTTTGTGTCTGTGCTTACAGGGATCTGGTCTTGGCAGCTTCAGCAGCTTCCACAGAAGTCAGCATTCTTGCCAGGCAAGGGGATCAGGTAATATTTTTTATTCCTCTTCCATTTGTGCCTATGCACCTCCTCTTTCTTGAAAATCTATGCAAGTATAACCTATATAAGCCCTGAAGTACAATGAAATGGTATTTTTTTAGGAACAAAACGAAAACGCTTTCTTTTTGCATCTGAGTTGTACTGAATCTCAGGATAAACAGAATTCTTAGTTGAACAAGAGGTCAGAGTGGCACAAAAGAGAAAGGTGAAACAGAAGCAGTATGTTGTGAACCAGGTACCAGAAGTCTGTTTTTCATGATTCACTTGGCATTCTCAAAATTTGATAAAGCTGACTATAATGAAGTGATTCATATGAGTTCATCAAGTTAAACACTAAAACTGTCTGACCTTAACTCTGGTGTGCAATGAGGTGTGAGAAGTCACACAGGAATCTGTGGAGGGCCCTGATACTTCTGGCATTTGTTAATCTGACAAATGTAAGTAGTTGCTCTGTAGCTTTTTTGCAGTCTTGTTTTTCAACTGTACTGGGCTGAAGTTCTGCAGAAGGCTGATCACAGGAAAGCAGCAGGCAAAATAATTATCTTTATTTTTTGCAGAACTGGGAATCATGGGTTTTGGAGGACTCCAGCAGAGCAGAACTTCCTGTGACAGATAAGAGCGATGATACTCTGCCTGTTGGTGTTGCTGTAGACTACACCAGTAACATGCCTATTGTGATCAGTAAGTCTTGTTAGTCTTTCCTGTGGAATAATCCAACCATAGCAATATATGAGATATTTTTGAGGGGGAGCCTGGAGATCTGGGTTCTGGGAGATTGTTCTGAAAGGGAGACCAACGTATGTCCTGCCTTTTTATATCAAACCCACAGCATGTGGGCTTAATTCTGTGTAAGGATTCAAGTGGTAAAGTGTTAAATACAGATCTTGAAAGCTTTCAGCAGCCTGGGATACTGCACTAACACAGCAACAAAGCACCCGAGTTATATCTGTGTTTCACAAAGCTGGGGTAACAGTGGGTTTAAAGCAGTTGTACTCCAACACCAGTGATTTCAGACTGCCTGCGAGGTTTCCTTTGTTCTTGTAGCTCATGTCATTTTGCAGAACCATTTTGTATGAAGCACATTTGCACTGATCTAAAGGAAAAGTGGGTTAGTTTCAAAGCCAGAAAAAGCTAAGATCATTGAGGTGGATCCATAGGTTTTCGCTCTGCATTAAAGCACAGAACCTATACTGACTGAACCCTGCTGTGCTCTACATCTAGTCCGTTGCATCGCTGCTGTAACCTCTGTGCTGCCTGAAGGCTCTTCAAAGCACCTTTGTCAGAGGTTGAAGCTGGAGGTACATCTGAACCATTGCATTGTACCTTAGTGAATTCTGAAAACTCTCTCTTGAAACTTAGAGACAGGTTGAAATAGAGATGCCTTCAGGCAGAGTGGAAGGTACTGCAGTCAGGAGTTCCTGAAGAGCACAGGAGGATGCCAGTTAACTGAGAACTTTACCTGAATGAAAACCTACGGTAGGGAATTGAGGTCAACCTTTGTACTTGAATGCCAAGTTGAATTTGAAGCATTTTCTTTGTTAGTCTGTACAATTATTGGATTAAGAAACTTGTCAGGACAGATATTTTAAAGCCCAGGTTGTGCTGCCCTAGGAGTTTTTAGAAAGGTTTTTGGAGAAGCTTTGCTAACGCATTGTCTGTGTTCTCAGAGTGAAGTCAGCTCAGGTTTTGGCTACACATTAATTGGCTTTGCACTTCACTGCAAGGTTGGATTGCAAAGAAACTCATTTGTCCTGGAGCTTGTTCCCATGTGGAAACTGGCCTTCCCTAGCATGCTTTTCGTGAAGAACCAATAGCTAGAGAAACATGGCCACCCACTGCACTGCCTAACAAAGCACTGTGATTACAGCAGATTTTTCCTGCATGCTGGATTTGTTGGGATATTTTGTTTAATTTAGCACAGTTAAACCATTACAGATTTTTTTATTTCTGTATTGCAGTATCTGTAATATATTCTATATAATATTACAGGTATTATTTATTTATTCATAGAAATATAGGAAATGATTTGGGGCCTTTAACTATGCTGAGGCTATTTGAACTGAAGATTCTTAGGCTCAAAGCTGCAGCTGCACGAAACACAGATATTTTATATCAGAGGTTCAGATCATCAGGGTGATTGCTTGATGTTGGCTTTCTTTAAAGTTAAAAAGCTGTGAGTCTCTCTGTACTTTATGTACATGAATATTAATGATGTGACTGGACCCAGTGGAATGTGGGGATTGCTGAAGGGCAGAGAGGATTGAAGGAGGGAGCAGCGTATAGGTGAAGAAAAAGGTGCTTCAAGATATGAAAAAGCTTGGCATTGGAATTCATGGGCGAAAGTTTGGTTTTGTCATTCAGGAGGTGGCATTTGATTGTCAAAATAACCCTTCATCTATGAATTTATGAATCACGAAGTCAGGAATAGGAAGGAGTAAAGAAGGGAAAAAGAGAATTGGGCATTCACAGAGAAGCAAGGGAACAAAGACGCAAGTGAAAGCAAGAAGGGCCGTATGTAAGAAATAAGGTGCTAAGCAAATCACCTGAAGGTGCCAGTAGGAGCAGAGCAGGAAAGTGTGGCTGCAGGACTTACATGTGTGATTTCTGGCAGGTGACGAGAAGACCCTTCCTCCAGCTCCAGTTCTGATCCTGCTCTCTACGGATGGTGTGCTCTGCCCGTTCTACATGATCAATCAAAACCCGGGGGTTAGATCACTGATTGTGACCCCAGAGCCATTGATGTTAGTAGGGGAGAGAGTTCCAAAGTCAGCAGGTAGGTGCTTCGGTGGGTTAGGAGAGCATTTGTCTTTGTAGATCTTTGTCATCTTCATTGGTAAGTTTGGTAGACAGACATGTATGTGGTCACAGAAAATATATTTCATTCTTTATAATGGTAATGGGGAGCAGTTCTTGGGTGTTTTGTGCTCCCAGGACTGTTCTGTGAATCAGTGTGAAATTACCTAGTCCTGTTCATTATTCAGGATGTTGAGTACTTTGCAGACTGTGCACGTAGACTCTGTTCTGCAATCAATCTTTGGAGAACAGGGCCAAAGCAATTCTAAGAGGCGCTTTGCCCAGCTTTGGGGTGTATGACTGGAACTGCAGCAGTGGCTGCAGGCTCTGCTTGGGGACAAGGATCAAGCACTGAGCATGATCTTTATGTTACGGAGGGGTGATGGTTGTCCTCTACATGTTTTGCTATAGGAAGCCATGGTATGAACTAAAGTTTTGGCTGCAGCAAAAGCTTATTTAAACAGCAGGTTTCTGCAGCACTGAAAATTCTGTTTGCAGGTGAGGAGTAGTAGTTTTATCTGAGTTATATATGTGCTGCTGTATGCACTGTGAAGTAGGCAGTTTCCTGTGCTGGGTTAGGCAGATAAGGTGATTGTTTTGCTTGTTTGCATGCATGCAGTAGTAATTGCAAACTGACCATTTTCTTCCCTAAACCCAAATTTGCTTCTCCTTCCTCAAACAGAATGCTTTTGTTTGGCAGCCTGCCTCTCTGCAGCACTGGCTGACTTGTGTGCTAACAGCCTGTTTTATATAAGGTGGCAGGAGAAGGGTGAAGCCTTTTCACAGGAAATTCCAGAAAACATTAATCTGGGCAGACAGTAGTATTGATTTTGAGTTGGACTTTGTGCAGTTTCTGTATCACTTATTCTGTTTTGGGGCTGGAAGCCTGGCTCTGCCATTTCTCTTCCTCAGTGTAACTGTCTGTCCAGCTAGTGAGGTGTGGTGCTGAGCTGTCCCCATCAGATAGCATTTGGCCTTACAATGCCTTCTGCCATTAGTCAGTGCAGCTGTATGAGTCTCTTCCTTTCCCATTTGTCTTTCTGCAGGAAGTACTGCCACAACTCCAACCACTCCTCCAACTTCTTCAAAGCCTGACACAGCACCAGGGGTTGCTCCTGCTGCGCCTGCCTCAAGTCAGGCTCCTGCAGCAGGTGGAGCAGCTGCTTTTTCCTTCATGCCTTCAACTGTGAAGATGCCCGGCTCTACAGGCAGTGATCCTCCACCTTACCCCTTTGCCGGTGAAGCCTCCAAGCAAGCCCCGACTCCCAGTCTGACTGGAGCAGCAACATTCTCTTTCTCCTCTGCTTCTCCTAAGTCATCCGTGACCCCTGCTGCTTCTGTAGCCACTACTACAACTACTGCCACCTCCTTTTCATTTGGATCCATGAACTTCAAACCAGCTGCAGAGAGCTCACCAGGGCCACCTCTCTCCACACCACCTGTTGCACAGAAGACCACTTTTGCCACTTCGGCTTCTTCAGTCAAAGTGAACCTCAATGAGAAGTAAATAGATGCAGTAGTTAATGCAGTGGTTGCATATTTGTTAAATTGCTCCAGGCACGGAGTGTGTGGTAGTTCTGAAGATGGTTTCTGGCTTTTTGCCTCACAGCTGTTTCCCATGCTTCCAAGAAAGCACTGAGGAAGCCTCTCTTTATCTGAGTCATAGGACTCTGGAAACCCTCCGTGCACACAGTGATAGAGGTTATGTTCAGGGGCAAAATAATAGTCAAGGGATAATGCAAAAAATTAGACTGACTGTTTGCCAAATTGTCAGAGACCTGTTTTTTTCAGGCATCAAACAGTAATTCCATGCCTTAGTTTGATGCAAATTATGTTTAAAGACTCCTGGAGAACACTGGGCTTTGCAATCCTTTATGTCTGGGCCTGGTTTAGTGTGGTGGTGATAGCACATGCTTCTTTGAGTGTTTGTTGAAGGTTCCTTACCCCTAATCTAAAGAGCAACTCGCAGAGCTGAGAGGAAGCTGTACCCGTAGCTGGCTGATTTCTACTCCCATGGTCAGTAGAGAAGGTGCCAGACCTGATTTTGTTCTTCAGTGGGTGCTTGTCACTGACCATAGGATCCGAAAACTTCAAAGCCTGTTCATGCCAACTGAAAGCAAACTAATCTTGATTACAGACTGTGCAGAATGAATTTGGGTGATGAGTGTTCACAGATCATATACCCACTCTTCCCTCCAGCTCCTGAGACTTGCTCTCTGTTTTCAGAAAGAATGGTTTAAAACACAGCTTTGCTAATTGGACTTGCTTTCTAGGGAGGGAAATTTCCATGTAAATGCATTGTAAGAAATTCCTGATGCTTTAAAGGATTATTTTTTTAATTAGGAAAATCTTAACTGCACCAGGATCTGATGGTGGCTCTTAATGGCTTTTTGAATTTTATATTTTGTGTATAAAGCAAATGATACGCTTGTGAATTGGCTGAATATTTAAATTGGCTGCCTTGAGGAGCTGAGTTTGCAGATGAATAGAAATTCATAGTTTGCAGGGTTTCTTTGAGCCTTGCTGCATGGATGACACTAAAGACAGCTCAGATTTGCTATAATTGGTGCTTTGGTGAAAAACTACGAGGTGCATTTTGAAGCAGGAGGGTACTTTTTGTGGCATTTAACTTTTGCTCACTGGGTGGGTCTATGGTAGCAGCCTTTGTGGTACCACATATTCAGAAATGATCCTGAATGGCTCCTTCCTGATATTACCAGAAGCTACACTTGTAATGCTGTATCTGGAGCTTGAATTTTTTGCTGATCCCAGAGGATGCCAACTCATTAGAACCTAGTGCCTCATTTTGGATGGAGGGAAACAGCCAGGACCAGTTCAGAGCTGAAAGATGTTCTGCTTTTCATTGCAGGTTCACTGCTGTAGACACCTCTTCTCCCACTAGCAGCAGTGGTCAGTGCACTTCCCCAATGTTTTCATTCTCCAGCACTTCAAAAACTGCTTCTGGAGCTCCTCTGAGCCAGTCCACCCCCCCTGCAGCTTCTCCCACCACACCACTGAAGGCTTCGACACCTGTGCCTGCTGCAGGTAGGATTCTGATGCATGTTGTTGGGCGTAATGCACTGTAAGCAATGTTCTGAAAGTTTTAGGACATAATGAGCTTTGTTTGGCTTCTTTCTTGTTTTTCCTGCTGCCCTTATTGATGCAGTGAACCTCCTGATCTGCACACTGTAACGATGGGATGGATTTAGTGCTGAAACAGAGAAGTTTGGCCATTCGCATTTGCTGCTCCCTAGAGAGCCAGATGTGAAATGAACATATTCAGCTGCTTAAGTTCATCCACAAGTTCTGGCACTTTCAGTGATCTGTAATGCAACTCTGATTAGGAATGTTTCTGAGCAGTCACACAAATCAGTGCCTTATCTTGCATCTTGATCAGAAATGAGTTTAAATTAGATCACACTTGTTTGTTAGCAGAATAATATTCAATCTCAGAGGATCCTGTGACCATATTGAGGGTCCTTCAGGAATGTTAGAGCCACATGCTGGAGAGTGACAATTGTTACTGTTAGCAGGGAAGTTGAATGGGATTAAAACAGCACCTAAGGAAGGTGTGTTCTTGCACTAGGGCCATACTACCGTTGCTTTTGGATTTGACAGTGGCTATTATAGCTTTGTGTGATCGCAGCCTTTTTTTCTCAAGCTTTGTATAAGTTCATAATTTACTGTTTCTCTTTAAATTCCAGTGTCACGTCCTGCTCAAAACATGCTTTCCACTTCTTCAGTACAGAAGACAGCCAAAATCACCCCTTCTGCAGCAAAGCCAAGCTCTACTCAGGTAATGGGAACTTGAGTGGACTCTTTAGAGGCTGAATGTTTTACATGTCCTGTGAGTCACTTAGAATTCATTGAACTGAACGACTGTCCTTAGGTCAAAGAATTAGCTGACTTTAGACATTAAAATAGTAGCAAATCTGTGGGACTAAATCCATGTTTTGTGCAGGTCTTTGGGAGCTGTGTTTTGGTGTATGTTGTCATAATCACAGTAACAGAAACTAATTCTTCTTGTTGGTATGGAAATGAGGTTTCACAGCTTTCCTAGCTAGTAAGCAGTCAAGAGTTGCCCTGACTGGCTATTAAGAGAGACATGGATATTAAAAGCAAAGCACTAATACAGAGCAGCCCACAAAGACTTTGTTTGCTTCCATAAAGCTTTAGCCATGTATCCCCAGGTAGCCTATGGTCCTACTTCAAATGTGAACATATCAGTCTTAGTCTGTGAAACTAGTCTGAATGGAGTTTCTAACATCAGGCCTCTTGATATTCTGAGCTCCCTGTTTCTAAGGATATATCCCTAATATTGTATTTTTTGTTTGTGTGGGTTTTTTTTTCTTTTTTAGGGCAAATCATCAGTCCCCAACACAGCTCTAGATAAACAGGCCCACCAGTGGAAGGATTCAGACCCTGTCATAGCAGGAATCAGAGAGGAGGTGAGATTTCCAACCAGTTCTCTTAATTTTGGAAGCTGTAAGACCACAGACGCTTCAGCTCACCTGTGATCTGGTGGTGTCTGTCAGTAGTTTAGGAATCAGAATGGCAATTTTTCCCAAGTTAATCAGCCTGGTTTGTAATTGCTGTTTGTGTGTCCTGTTCAGTCATCTTTAATTTCAGCCACTGTGCTGGAAAAATGGAGTCTTTTCCCTGTTAATGTTCAAGAATAATTTCTTGCTTTGGCTGCAAAACAGCCAGTGTTTACTGTGTGATGTCCAAGAGCTGTGACATTTGTTCTAGTCCCTGCAGTGTTTCAGTGGTTGCACTTACTTCCTCTGTAGATTGCACATTTTCAAAAGGAAATGGAGGAACTGAAGGCCCGGACTTCCAAAGTCTGTTTCCAGGTTGGTACGCCAGAGGAAATGAAGATGTTGCGAACTGAGTCGGATGATCTTCACACTTTCCTCTTGGAAATTAAGGAGACAACAGAGGTGAGCAGAGTATCTTCAAACTGTTTAGCTCCTCAGCAGTGACTGTTCCTCTCCTGATGTTCCTATTTGACCTGCTAGAGCTGAAATGATGTAGATGGAGCATCTGACTGTGCTGCTTTAATGTGGGGGTAACATCTGCGTTTGTGCTTTCAGGCAGACCCTTGCAGAAGCCCCTGTGCTAGAGATGGCAATTAAAAATAGTTACTTTGAACCTTGTTCCATCTGTTCCATTTGCAGTCACTTCATGGAGATATTTGTATTCTGAAGACAACCTTGCTGGAGGGATTTGCAGGGGTAGAAGAGGCTAGAGAGCAGAACAAGCGGAATCATAGCTCGGGCTATCTACACTTGCTCTATAAGAAACCTTTGGATCCCAAGAGTGAAGCACAGCTTCAGGTATGAAGTGTGTCAGCCAACTTCTAATCTAGAGTTTGAAATAAAATAAAACTGAGGCTTGTGTAAGTGCCCAGCAGTTTTGGTCTCCTGTAGATATTTATTGTTTCAGCAGGCCTAGTAAAAGTGGGATGAGCTTTGTTTTCCATGAGTTTGCAAGATATGCTGAAAATCCTCTCCTGAAGTTCCTCTGTGTTGTTGCTGTTTGCAGTGATGACTCAAAACTGATGAAAGGCAGTAGTTCACCTGAGATCCAAGTCTATTCTAAGCTTAGAATGTGACTCTTGACATCCTGTTCCTTCTCAGCCCGTAGTGTTTGCTCAGGGATTTCACTTAAATGAGTACTTTTTTTCCCCAACACTTTGTAGAAGAGTTCTTAGAATTATTTTTATCTTCAGCAAGTGCCTTGTGGAACAATTTGATGATTTATTATGACTTACAGAATTGTGTAGTTAATTTCATGGATGGCAGAACATAAAGCTAAATGATATTCTAAAAGCTGGGGCACAAAGGCAAATAACCAGCAGCACATAAAGAGGCTTTCAAAAGCATGAAAGAAACTAGGGGTGAAGCACTCTTGCAGCTCGTGATGAAAGGGCTATTTAACCCTAAGCAGAATAGAGTGAATGTGCCTTACAGATGATACTTGGTTTTGAGGGGAACTTACTAGTATATAAAAGATCTTTGACTAGCAGGCTGAAAACATAATTGAATGTCATCTTTATTACAGTAGGTATGAAGAGCTTGCACGCAGTTACTAGAAATCAGCCAATATGAAGTAATTTCTTTTAGGCCTGATCTCTAATCTTCACCTGGATTCTGTAGAGTGATTCTTAGTCTTAATTGTATGCCTGCTTTGATGTCCAGTATGTCTCTGTGACATTTCAAGCTTATGCTCATGACTTCAGTGAGGTGACAGCCTTGAAATTAGTGTTTTACTGATCTAGAGAGAGGATCATGAGGAAAGAGTAACAGTGAGAGAAGTGGAAGTGGATTGGAATGTATGGAGAGAGCTGTCAGGTCAACTTTTGGAAAGTGTAGGAGAAAGACGCCTCTAGTCTGACTCTTAAACCTTGTTCAGTCTACATCCCCATGCTCCTGGGTGATAAAAGCTCACTTAGTTAACTTCATGTATTGGTTTTCAGTGATCCTGGGGCTTTTCTGATGTCCAGCCATATTGATTTGCTGTCCTGAGAGTGACTGCTATATAACACTCCTAGTTGCTGGGGAGAGGAAACCTGTGCTTGGTAGTGTGTAACAGCCCACAGTAGGACTGGATTTGGTTACAGCTTGAGTATGTCACATTAGAATTTCATGCTCTATCTTGAGAACAGTTGCAGTGGAATTTTTCCCAAGCTGTGTTACTTGGCTGCTTCATCGTTGTATTTCAGCGAGCATTCTGTTGGGATGAGCTGAAACCAACTGCAGTTTCCATTTCCACTGTACGAGATCGGAGTTCAAGACATGTTCATGCCATGACAGGCTGGAGGGATGACAGTAATAAGACTGAACACTGGTTTTGTTTAGGGAGCAGGGCTTGTAGCCAGAGGTCTCTGGTTGAGTTGTGCAACTCTGTGGTCGTGGATAAGTCACTTTACTTTTTCTGTGCCCTTTTTTCTTTCCTACCTATAAAAATCAAGTTAATTCCTTGCCTTAATGTGGGAGTTATGAGCATTTGTGAGTATTTTCATGAATCATGGTCTGTGAATGCTGGTATCCTAGAGCCATGTGAATAGCCTGCAATGCTTTGAACACCTATAATTGTTGGAAGTTTCAACACTGTAAAATGGGAGCAAATGAATCATGTTCTGCGAATGAGATTTGAAATAAGGTTTGTTTTGTATAATGCCTGATGTTTGTAAAACCCTTTCTGCAAGGACCTGGCAACGTTTTGAAAACATTATGGAAAGTATTATTTCCAGCTGAGAGCTGGAATAAAATGTCCTGTGAGTGCTCCAGCCATTGATAAGTGGATTTTCACCATGTTGGGTTCTGTTGTGCTGGTAAAACTTTCCAGGCAGAAATATGGGAAAGTGCTGCATGGCTTGGGCCGGATGAGCTTAAAGAGTCTTCAACTTCTTCATCTGAAACTGAGATTTCTGAAGTGAATGAAAAGCTGACTTTGTTTTGCATGGTAGGAAATTCGGCGCTTGCACCAGTACGTGAAGTTTGCTGTTCAGGATGTGAATGATGTTCTGGATTTGGAGTGGGACCGGCACCTGGAACAGAAGAAAAAGCAGAAGTGAGTAACTGAAACTGGAATACAGAACAAGGAACTTGTCAGTGAACGTGGCGTTATTCTCGAATCAAACAGACAAAAACCCTTTTCTGTTTAACAGTATGATCTTTTACAAGGCATCTAGGAATGAAGCGTGACTAAGACACCTAATGGGAGCTATAGGTTCAGGCTGTTTGGCTTCATGCATGCTACAAGCTCTGCATCTTTGTGTACAGCGTAAATAGTGCTTATAGAAAAAAATGTAAGCTTTGTAGAAACCATTCATTGGTGGTAGCTGCTGAAACCTTTCTAATAAGTAAAACATCTGAAATTAAATGAGGTAAACTAATAAACTTGCAGCATATCCAAAGGAGAAATACATATTTGAGATGAACTGAACTGCTTTGGTGTCCAAAGCAAGGCACGTTGGATCGCATGGAGTTTAAGTAGCTAGTACCACTAAACTACTTTGTGTATGCATGCCTGCTTGTGGCCAGATAATAGAGTGGTCCTTATCCCTGTCTCTTGATCTGGTGTCTTAAGGCGTCTCATAGTTCCTGAGAGGGAGACCTTGTTTAACACCCTGGCTAATAACCGGGAAATAATTAACCAGCAGAGGAAGAGACTAAACCAGCTCATAAACAGCCTGCAGCAGCTCCGACTTTATAATCAGACATCTCAGTGGAGTGTTCCCAGTGATACATCTTCTCTTAGCAGTGCTCAAAGGTATGTGAAACACAAGTTCCTGGGTAGTGTTGACACTCCTTCTCTCTTTCCTCCAGCAATATGCAAGGGTGCATCTTCCAAAGAGTGCTGTTTGTGGATGTGGTATTGGAAACAGGATGTCCTAAAAGTCATACTAAATTATGCCCATGTAATAGAGAAGCTCATGGGTTATGTTGTGTGGTTCACTCTTTGATGCTTATCAGAAATTTCCCCTACAAGTTACAATTTTTATGGTAAACAGGACAATAAAGCCTCCTACCTCAGGGTACTGCTGGCTGTCTGAATTCAGGGGAGGAAGAAGAGAATGGCTCTTAGAGTTCCAAAATAAAGATGCATTTATTTAAATAGCAAAGTATCTAGAGGTGCCAGTTGCTCTTGTAGATAAACTAATGGTTCCAGTGCCTCCTTTTGTCCCCCTTTTGTTTCTGACTGGGTTGGTTTCTTTCTGCTGATCATGGTTTTTCACTGCTCTGTCTTGTCCCAGTTTTGACAGTGACCTTGAAAGCCTGCGCAATGCCTTGTTGAAAACTACCTTGGAATCACATGCCAAACCTCTGCCTAAAGTACCTGGTAATTTATTCTTTTTTCCTGCATTCACACCATAAATGTGAATCACTTTGGTTTTGGCTTGCAGTTTGATTATAGGCTAATAGCTGTCTTTGCTTTTCCAGCTAAGTTATCCACTGTGAAACAGGCACAGCTGAGGAATTTCCTAGCCAAGAGAAAGACTCCACCAATTAGGTCTACAGCTCCAGGTAAACCTTTAGTTGCCATAGAAGTCTGAAATCCTTTCCAGGAGGGTGACCTACCAGCTGTGGGAATCAGTCCTGAAATTACCTTTTGGATTCTAGCTCCTCAATCCCTATTTTTCATTTCCTGTTCCCTTATCAGCTGTCAGTAAGTTTCCTTCAGTTACTGTCTTATCAAAGACATCTTTTTGTCACAGTTAAGAATCCTGTCAATGCAGGATTAAAACAAGCCAGTAGAAGAGCACCCTAAGATAGAATGTCTCTGTTTTGGCCGTTAGGCTGGATGGTTCCCTCAACTTTTAACACATACATGTGATTTTGTTTCTGATATTGCAGCGAGTTTATCCCGATCTGCCTTCTTATCCACAAGATATTATGAAGATTTGGATGAAGTCAGTTCAACATCCTCAGTTTCCCAGTCACTGGAGAATGATGATTCACAGGCAGTGGATCAGGAAGAAGAGGCTGCTCCAGTCCAAGTCCCTCGTCATGCTCCTGTGGTCCGTACTCCCTCTATCCAGCCTGGTTTGATGGCACAGTCTCCATCCTTTGGGAAGCAGCAGCTCTCCCTGGGTACTTTGCGTGAGTTGTTTTTGCGGTGTCTCTCCCCTGTCCTGCACGTTTATCTCAGTATCTTTAACCACTGTGTCCATTGCCAGTGCTTCAGGTCCTGGAGAAATGAGGCTGCAGCATGCAGGTTTACATTGCCAGGTTTTTAGAAGCAGTTAGCAGACAGGCGTTGTAACCTCATGAACTTGACCTGAAAGCACTAAAATGTCTTGACTTATTGGCTGTGTTTTTCTGATAGCCTGTTTCTTTCAGCTAGTACTGACCATAGGTAGCATTGTCTTCCTTTAGTAACTTGCCTTAGGTGTATGCCATTATTTCTTTAAATAACGCCTAAAGACCAGGACACTGAAGTACTACTACATTTGGTTGGTGTGGCCAGAGTTAGGAGTTCTGAGCCCAGTGAGTCACAGTAAGAATTAAATTTGTATACTGTCAGTTTTCCTTGTGTGAGAGATCTTTTTATATTTTCAATCTCTGTATCCAGAGAGAAAGATATGGTGTCAGCAGACGTGTCTGTAACGGCAAACTGGAAGTCATTGAAATAATAACTATTGAGACTTCCTTGCTTGATTCATTGGGATATACAGAAACTGCCAGGGACAGATTGTGTTGATTGTTTAAAAGCCCTGCAGTCTTGTCAGAAGGAAGCTGTGTGCTTAGAGGAAGTGTAATTCAGCAAAGGCTTTCAAGTGTCTCTGATCTATAGAGTTATAATGAACTGTAATATTTTTGTTTGCTTGTTTTTAGTGTCTACATCTCCAAACCGAATCATACCGCAAGGGGCAGATAGTACGATGCTTGCAACAAAGACTGTGAAACACGGAGCCCCTGCTCCCACTGTCACTGTTCCAGCACCACAAGCAGCTGCTGCTGCAGCTCTTCGGAGGCAGATGGCTAACCAGTCCCCAGGTAAAAGGATGGCTAATTGCCTAAGTGATGTCTGAACAGTTGAATGTGGCTTTCACAAGAATTTATCACTCTCAGAGGAGAAGGTCATCAAAGAAAATGTGACACAGATCTGTATTTGTTGCACCTCTGAGTTATCCAGTGTTTCTTTGTCTTCCTTCTTCCTTTAAGCCTGAGAAACTCCCACCTTGGGTTTCTTCGTACCCCTACTCATCTGTGCAGTGGCAGAAATGTCGATAACTCTCAGGAGATCTTAGAGTAGCAATTGATCTGTGTGCCAGAAACTGCTGGAGAGGCACTGGCCTCTATTAATAACTGCTCATTATTAGCTAGGCAATTAAAGATCTGAGCTGTAAAACAATTTTAATATTGAAAAGCTGAAGGTGAACTATTGAATTAAGCCTTGAATCTTCTTGTAAGGTTTTGAGTTGACAGGAGAAAGGTTTCCCAATTTAAATTCTTCTTGTTTGGTTCTAAACAACACTGCAGCATTGGTGTAGAAAAGAAACAAAATTCAGTTACTAGTAGTTTATTTTCCGTGCCCAAAGAGAGCTTAAGTGTAGGAAATGGACTAGTGATATGAATTCTGGTGGAGGCCAGGTGTAACTACACAGGCCATGTCTGTAAACCTGGGATGTTGCAATGTGGGTAAGGAAAAATTTGTAAGAATAAATAGGTTTGGTCAACTAACAATGAAAAATCTATCAACTAGATAGAAAGCTCTCTGCTGCTTTGGTGTCCACTCAGAAGGCTGACATACCAAACATTAGCTACACCACATACCTTCTAGAAACCTGGATGGGTTTCTTCTGAAGTTACTCATAGGCAACCTATTGAATGAAATGCTTAATATGGAGAACATCTTTATCCGTGTTTTTTTCCTTTTCCTTAAAGTTGTAAGCACTTCCTTGACTGAATCAACCCTGAAAAACGTACCTCAAGTGGTGAATGTGCGAGAACTCAAGACTAGTGCATTGACTCCAGCTGTCTCTGCAGTCATAGGGTGAGTGGGTGCTCTCCTTCTTTCTGGTAGCTTTGGATAGCACTTGCAGTAGAGCATGTCTGCCGATGGGGAGCAGTAGTAGTGTTTTACATAGTCTGACAATGTAAGACCTAAAGTAGATGCATTTAGAGAAGAGTATTGAGTTTGTTGAATGAAAGGAAGAAATACTTTATTTCCAGGTCATTTAAGGATTTGCTAATGGCTTGTCCTGAACAAATGACAAGACCAGTGTTAACCTCCTTCTCCATTAGTCTGTGAAATGTGTTTTAGTGCTGCCTCTCCTTTTGGGATCCAGTGGTTTCACTGCTAATATGTACTTTGTATCCGGTGCCTCTCCAGTCACTACCTCTGCTCTGCCCTTCTGTGTGGGAAGTGCACCCCTTTGTCGCTGAGTGTGGTCTGTGGCCTTAAGCTGTCCAGATGTTGTTCCTTATACTTCATCATCCATTACAGAGAAAAACTTCTCTGGAGTTATGCCTCTTCTGTGTGTCCTCGGATTCACCCGCTGGGGGAGGGAGAACTGTGCTGTGGCTTTTCTGGATATCAGACATCAGAATTTTGACTGAAGGGTTGGGTGTCACTAGGGGCTGATCTTTGGAAAAATACGGAGCTGCGAGTCTGTCTTCCTCACAAGTAAATGATGAATGTTGCCTTTAGCATTTAACCTTGAATTTGTAAAGGCTTCGTGTGAGTTAGCTGTAACACTTGGCTTTCCTACTTCTGTCTCCTACAGACAACAGCCAGCTCAGCTCATTCTAGAGATTTCTGTCTTATCACCAGGCTTTTTCACCAGCCACAGAACTTGTCCCTTTCTCTGTCCTTCTCATGACCTTGAAACTCTTTGCTTGAAGTTCCTACAGTTGCTTAAAACCAAGATAGTGATTGTCCGTTCTGGGGCTGGGGAGGCAAGGTCATCACTGAAAAGTCAGAGCAAAATTGGGCTTCCTGTGTAAATAAAGCAGGAGAAACTCACCACATATATTTGACATGTCCACGTGGAGCTGTAAATGCTTTATCCATGTAACCGTGGGCTATACGTGCAGCTCCTGGAACAATTTCTCTTGTGCATCACTTGTCATTTTCTTACTTTGTGTATACCCTCCATTGTCAAAGAAAAAAAAGTGATTTTTCTTTGATGCAGCTTTTCAAAAAGGGGAACAGAGTCTTGCAGTGCTGGTACTCAGCTGCTGACCTTGACATTTACTTCATGGCTTCTTCTGCATTTTAGTTGGGAAACAGTTTGGGAGCCTTTTGCTATTTTATTTTCTCCTGAAAGTGATGAACTGAGAGGGGGAAGGGCAATGCTACATCTTTTGAAATGAAAATTTGCAGACAGCTCTGCTTGGAAGATTTTGCTAAAAGCAATGTTGTGGCCAGGAAGAGTTCTCCACTCTTAGTTTCATCAGAACTATGATAAGGAAAGTGAAGAGTACTGGCTGTACATAGACAAGGACAAAAGCGAGCAGTATGTCTCTTGAGTTAAACTGTAGTTAAAGACCTGTCTTTCAAGTCATTTTAGACTGACAGTATTGATTGATCTCTCTAATTTATAGAGCACCAGCTAGCTTGATATCTTGAAGGCTTTTTACAGTCTTATCTTACAGCTGACCTCATAAAAATGTACCCTCTAAAAAGTCTGCCCAGATGAACTATGCCTGCCAGTCAGGTTCAGCTCTAAAATAAAGAGCATTCACCCAGCAAAGTTAATTCATCTGGTTTTGCTGCTTCAGCCATCCTGGCTCTCTTCTGCTGCTGCAGCACACTCTTTGGGTTGTTAAGCAGTAACGGGTTTTCAGTCGTTATCAGTTGTTCAATGGCCTGTGGTGAGGTGTGTTGGTGGTCCCAGTCCAGTTACTTTATATATATAGTTTCCAGTGTAAAAAAAAAACCTCTTTCCATAACTGAAGTCAAACCCAACATTTTCATAGCCTTGTCAGAGAAGCTTGGGTTAGGTGGTCTTTATACTGATGAAAAGGTCTCACCTCACATGACTTTCACAGGCCTCCTGTTGGTTTATTCTTTGTTCAGGGTGCCTGTGAACTTGAAATTTACAGCTGTGCCTTCCCAGCATGGACTCTTTCCAGTGCTAATCTTGGAGTTTTTCTGGTTTTCTTTACTTTTGCTCTGGGTAGAGGGCAAATCTGGGCCATGCAACAGAGAGAGTGCTCATTGCTGGAAGGAAGGACTTAACAAAGCTGTTGAAGGCACAAAACCCTATCCAAGACCAGATGGCTATGCAAATTTATTGTTCCATGTGTGTATCCCCTTCCTTTGGAACATAGGAAATTTCTGAGTTAGCCCATCTCTGATCAAATAGTAAATGCAGCTTGAGAGTCCTCATGAATTAGGAGATGCACAGCTTCTGATGCCCAGATTCACTTACTGTCTGGGATTTGAACTTAAGCTTCTGGTATTGGTCTTTTAAGCTGCTGAGCCTGGTAAGCCACAGACCTGAGGAGTTGCTAAAACTGGATGGCTCATCCCAAGTTATGGTGGTTTGTTGTGTTAATGGCCCACAGCATGTAAGTAGGATGCTTCATCCCAGAAGTAGCTGCCATTCTGCAGCAATTGTCTGTGGGCTTTGCTATACGATTTATTTCGTGGTTAAAATTCCCAAACCTGTAATGTAGAATATAGGTTAATTTTATCACAGTTCTTGCCATGACTTATTAATGTTTATACTACACTTCAAAGACACGAAATGCTTCCCCCCCACACCCCCAGCTTTGCCTCCTTGCTCAGCATTCAGAGAGTTGCATGTACTTGTCTGGGCTCCACACTACAAAGGAAGCTTCTTAAATTTGTTATCCACTAGGCATAAAATTGTAATCCCCTTACCTGCTGATTTTTCATCAACTCCCTGTAAAATAGAAGGGCCTGACTCTCTTCAGAGACAAGAGTGTGTGAAGAAGGCTTGATCATTTAAGTCTAGGGCTTTAAGCACATTTGCAGACTTCCTTTGTTAAATGTGGCTGATTCATTTAAGAGGTTTATTCCCTAACCAGATTTGTTAGTTTGGGGTTGTGTGTGGAATCTTTAATAGCGGTGGTTGTTCAAGTGTTCTGGAAGCTGTGCTTTTGAAAGGTGAGGAAGTCCTCTTTTAAACTAGTCATTTAATGTTTGAATTTTTACTTTTGAAGGTCGTCTGTACCTCATTCTGCAGCCCAGGCAGTCCACCAAGTTTTGGCAACTGTTGCTACAAATCAAGCTAAACAGGTATCTTTATAGAACCCTTTCCCTATGGAATAGTGTACCTGCACATGCTCAGCACAGTTTGGGGGTGTAATTGTTGGTGAAGAGGTCATCTAAAAATGTCTCTTCACAGCTTGCCCTGCATTCCTGGCAAACCACTTATTCATCTGTGACCTCGACAGTGTGATACCAGGCACATCTTTGTTATGTCTTGCCTTTTCTTTCTTATGAAGGCTTGCAGCTTTCTAGTGGCCATAGCCTTGCAGCAGTAAGGGTAGCAGCTAACAACAAACAGTATTGGGTAGATACACCAAAATTTCACCAAGAAAACTTGAAAAAGTGCTATGCAATCAAGGGAGAGAGTAGTTTGTCTATGCTTTTGTTCTACTGAAAACATTTCTTACTGGTCTACAAGCTGCTAGGTTTTACATTCACACATCAATAAGAAACGCAGCAGTCTTTGTCCCCTGGAATCACTGAGCTGTTGCCCATGGAGGCTTACTGGCCTCTGCAAGAGACTTGTTCAAGAAGTTGAGTATTGACCCTGCAGGTAAGTGTTGGGGCATAATGGGCCTCAGATTGAAGAGCACTTCTAAGTGCTAAGCTGCCTTCCTCTGCTTAGTTCTTAAGTCATTGCGTGACTCTCGTGATACCAAACCAATGTCAGAAGGACCTTTGTTAATGGACAGACTGCACTGACCTGAAGTGTAACTGTGTTTTCAGACACCTCTATCAAGCTCACTTAAGGGACAGACTCCACCTTCCTCTGTGTGTGCACCCTGTCCCGTGGCATCTACAGCTGGTCCAGCATCTTCCAGCAACAAAATCTCAGGTAAGTTGTCTTTAGTGGAGATGGAAATAAGGCCTGGGTGTCTCTTGCTACCTATTAGGCTGCACAGTCCAGAGAATGAAGACACTGAGGAAAAAAAAATTGCCTCCACTGAGAGGTTGCTATGCTAATTTTGATGGTGAGAATTTGAAAAACCAAGGTACGGAAGAGCAGGAGGTTTGTTTTGCATCCTGCCCTATGTTTTGTCTCTGTTCCTGCACCTAGAATTCGGTGATAAAATTCCTTGTTCAGAGGGGACTGAGAATGTGTAACCCTTATCAAGAAATGTGGAAAGCACATTTACCAAAGTCTGCTGTGATTTGAAAGCATTGCCATTTTGTTTTTTAAACATGAAAATCATGCTGTTTTCAGACATGCTGGTTTGATTTCTAAGCACACAGCACCTTAGGAGTACCTGAACTAGCTTGAAACGAACAAATTCAGGTACTGGGTCTGTTGAGCGCTGAACTTCAAGGCCAGTTCAGGTACTGTGATCAGTTGCACACGGTTTAGAGGCTTCTAAGGAAAGGAGTATACATCATTCAGTGCAAATGGGGGAAGATGAAACACTTAAGGAAAGAAGGAATTGATTTTTAATGTGTATTAGATAATAATGCTTGCACTGGACATGGTTTTATAAGCTTCTTGCATAAATGTCTGAAATCCATCTCTGATCTTCTGTCTGTAATCCATGGATGTAGGTTGCCTCTTAGCCAGGGGTAAGAAGCAGTAAAAATAACTAGAAATCATTTGACTTGGCAAACACTTGTTAAATTTTGGTTTATTGAAAACATCAGCTCCTGAATTTGACAGCACTTCCTTTGTATTTGAACCATGTTTCAATGCGTTGATGAGAGATTTTAACAAGGATTTCTTGATTTTGTTTAATTTTTTTTTGTCAAGATGATGACACCTATCTTTGCTCTCATCTGGTATATATTTTGCCTTAATTCTTTGAAATAATGAATGTGTTCTCTGATCTACCAACAGTAGCAAGAATGTTGCTGTGTATAAATACCAGACCTGGCATAAGTGGCAAAAAGCTTTGTTTCCAGTTGATAAAATTGCTGACTGCATGTGCAAACTGTTCCTTCCTTTTCTGATAGCTAGATGACAAGATGTTTTTTCTCTTTTATAACACTTGTTCTTGTATCTTATAGGACAAGGGACAGTAAAAACAGTTACAGCTGTGACTTCTTCTACCGTGCCATCCATACAAGCAACAACTGCACAGCTTAACAAAGCCTTCTCCTTTTCTTTTGTGGGGTCTGTATAACATTAATATTTCTTTGTAGCTGATATTAAACATGAGTATTGGCTGTTACAAACATTAATATTTCTTTGTAGCTGGTATTAAGCATGAGTATTGGCTGTTAGACCAAGTGTTACTTAAAAGCTGCATAATACTGGAGAATGGCACCTGCAAATGTTAGATTGGGGGGACGTGTTGCACTAGAATTCTTGGAAAAGACCTTCTTGTTTATGGAATCCTACCTGAGTGAGGTCTGAGGGTCTGTGAGAATTTGACACAATATCATGTTCCTTTGAGATTTTTCAGTCTGTAACTTACCAAGAGTGCATAATGGCTGGTTTGCTTTTCAGGTTTATCTAGAGTGGACTATTAAACACATCATACGCTCTGTGTACTGCCGTTTCTCATCATTAGATGATGATTTGAGATTAAATTTCCAGTTAGGACTTGAAATTTGTACTGATGGTCAAACTTGCCGAATTATTTATTTCAGTATAACAAATGCCATGTTTTGGCTTGAAAAGTAGTCTGCTCATGAAGGTGACTAGGGAGTCCCCAAGCCATCTGGTGATTTCTGTTACATAACAGTAACACAAAACAAGGTATATGTTACGAACATGCAGTTATTCTGAAATCTCTCTTATAGAGTGTTTTTTCTTTTCAGTGATGACAGAAATATTTCTTTGATCATATCTCATGTTTGGGGGAGAAGGATGACTCCTTAGAAATGATTGTTTTAAATTCTGCATGTTTACCTGTCTGTTACTCAAGTGAATTTCTCATTATGAAGTGGCTAATATTAAATGTTTCAAAACACTCACACTTTAAAATAGCTGATTTCTTTCAGTCTTAACTATTTCTCTGCCAATTGGTCAAGTGGATGTTACCCAAATGCCTTGCTGTGCTCTTCACAGGGCTAAAAGAGTCCTTTTGAGAGATGGAAATTCAGATTCAAAGTACAAACAGACCCAGCCTTTGTCCCAGGCTGCAGGGCCTCAGTCTATAAATCATATGCTAAATACAGTGCCGTTGTCAGTCCTGTCTGTTACACATCCTGAATTCTTCATCAGCAGCTGGTCTTTGAGAATCAGAGAAAGTTTAAAAAGCCACAGGGAATGAAGGTCTCTGGAGGACCCCAGTGCTCATTTTGACAGATTACAGTTTTTTTGCAAGACAGTATTTTTAGTGTGAAACAGTCATGGAAACTTTTAATACCTGAATTGCTATGAGTGATCTCCTTTTTGACAGGTGGTAGTATCCAGTTATTCCCTATTGTACATACACTGTCTCTTAGCTTTTAGCTCTTTTAAAGTCTAATTGCCACTGTGGCTTCTGCTCTCACTAGTCTCTGAAAAGCAGTTAGGACTTGGTGCATGGTGTTCTGCTTAGCTGAATGGGGAGGGAATACACAGCAGAATAGAAAGAATTTGGGAGGATGAGGGGTGGTCAAAAGAACTTTGACTCTTTAACCCTCTAGAAGGGTTACAAATAGGAGACAAATAGAGCCCAGTCATGCTTCTCTCTGTTTAGTTGTTGGAGAAACTGTTCTCGTGCCTGAGCGTTGTACAAGTCTGTACTGGAAATCCGAGTCTCAGAGTTGTGTTAATCATGGGGTTGGAAGTTTCACCCCTTTGAGCTAAGTGTCATTCTTTCCCTTTCTCCTTTCCTTCTAGGTCTGGATTTAATTTTAGTGTTGTCACATCAGCTGCTTCATCACCGACGCTGCCCAGCCTGGCTTCATCACAAGGTTAGTTTGGAAGAGTGTGCAAACAATATCTCTTCGCTGCTAAGAGAATGCTTACTCTTCCTAATTTGTGTGGTTCTTGTTGTAGTTCTATTATTAAAATTGCAGTAGCTGCAGTAACATTACATATATATGCTGGATTATGCCCTGTAATGCACAGAAATCTAGGCCCACCTGCCTTTTAACTAAAAGTAAGCAAAATACTTGCTGCCAAGAACATCTAGGAGGGACTGGTTTATGAAAAGGATAACATCTGTAGTCATTTCCTCTGTTGTCTTTAATCTGTAGATTTGAAGTTGCCAAGGTGGTCTGATGCAGCAAGCTGTCATTAAGTGGAATGAGCTTTTAGTAATGGGAGGGGAATGCTTGGGATGGCATTGTGTTGCTTCTGAAATTGAGTTGACAACATATAGTCCTCTTTTCCTTTTCATAGGCAGACAATACGTGGTTTGTCTGGAAAAAGGGGACTGATACATCTGTTTTATAGTATTATTGAGGATTTCTGCCTCAAATATCAGTTTTGCAAAAGAGATTGGATGGTCAAAAAGTCATTTCCAGTATTACTGGTTACTTTAATAAGAGATACTACCTCTTCTTACAAATCTTGACTTGCTTCTATCCTTAGAGCATCACAGCCCCAGCTATGCTACTAGTACTCTCTTGGCCTTAAGCAGAGAGAATGAACTTGGCTTAAAACTTGAAGATTTGGTTAATGTAAAAGCTTAAGTAAATAACACTGATTAAAAGAGCAGTGGGAGGTGCAGGAGACAGACTTGTAAACCACAGCATTGTGCGAGGGCAGTTACTGCATGCTGCTCTGTGAAATGGTAGGAGCACCTTTGCCTGTGTTAGCTGGTGATGGAAAAAGAACAGAAGAAATTTCAGTGCCTCAGGAAGAAACAAATGCTACATTATTCAGTATCAGTAACTAGTATACTTAAATATACTTAATAGACATAGAGAGAAACACAAGGATAATACCAGCTGTGCTAAGCTTTTGCTTTTTGTTATTTAGTCTTCATGCATATTTCCTGTACCTTATCCAAATCAACACATAGTCCGAACACCAGTGCAATGTTTTCAAGTCAGAGTTTGGGTGCATTTGTTGCTCAGAAATGAAATTACAATGCCTCAAACTTGTCCAGTCTCCCTTGAAGCTTCAGCACTTTCACACAGTTAGACAGCAGTATATCTTGTAAGTGGGGCTGCTTTGGCAATTACATCTGAGAGCTTTTCTCTAGTCTTTCAAAGCTGAAAACAGGATGCATAGAAACTGGTTGATGGTCTATAAATAGTTGAATTTATAAAGAAAGATATGATTCTGTAGAATGCAGTGCCTGAAAGTATGTTTGTGACCCAACTCTGTTCTGAGCCTATTCTGCTCCCTACAGAGATTTCTGTAGTGAATGTCAGGGTTTAGCTGAACCAAATAAGGGGTGAAAATGGTGTTAACAGGAAATGGTCTGTAGTAACCAGGTCTTCTGTGTTTTATCAAGTTGTTGAAAAACACATCAGAGCTAAAGGCTGAAATTGTCTGTACTCAGAGGAGGATGGTTAAGTGGAGGCTATGACATGAAAGTAACAGTCTTTGTTACTGCAACCCTGTCCATAAAGGCTTCAGATGTCACTGTTGTCTCCTGAATGCACGTGGAAGGGGTTAGAGGCTTTATAGTTTTGAGGCAAGACCACTGTTTAGCCATCTGTAAAACACTAAAGCATGCTGTTATTGTAAGAATTATAAATGAGCTTTGCATACTGTAACTCAGTTTGTAACTTCTGTCACTCTCTCTGGCAGCCCCTGCTAAGGAGTCCACCCAGACCGACTCGTTTTCACTTGCTGGGGGTTCCAAATTTGGAGTAGCCCCTGAGAGCTCCTTCACTTTTGGGTCCCTCAAGCCAGCAAGTGCTCCAGGGGCCTTAGCAGGAAACAGCTCCTCAGGAGATGGTACCCAGCCAAACAAACCTGCAGCAACAACATCTTCTGCTCCATCCACAACGGCTGGCAAGTTGGATGTCCCATCTAAATCGGGAGATCACTTGTTTCAGAGCAGTATAGCTGGGGAAACTCTTGGGAGCTTCTCAGGACTACGGGTTGGTCAAGTAGATGATAATGCCAAAACCACCACTAAAGCACCACCTACCAGTGTTGTAGGAGCGCAGTCATCTAAGGTATCTACAGTACCTTCTGGGTTTACTTTTGGTGCTCCCCTGTTAGGAAAAACTGGAGAAGCTGCTTCAACCTCAGTCACATCAGCTGGCACAGCATCCCTGTCCATCAGCACTAGTGCCACAGGCAGTCTCTTTGGTAATGTCCAGATAACCAGCACAGGGTCCTCTGGGGTATTTAATCTTGGAAGCTCTAGTGGCAGCAAGCCCACCTTTTCATTTGGTGTTCAGCAAGCAAACAGTATGAGCACGTCCATCTCTACCCCTTCTACCTTCTCCACGTCAACGTCCCTCTCATTTGGAAATTTCTTGAGTTCAACACAAACTGCTGCAGCTTCTGCTAAGGGTGCAGGGGATACCAAATTACTGTTTGTGCCAGAAAAGCCATCTGAAAGTGAAGCTGTAGCAGCTGGATCTTCACCTCCAACAACACTCTCGCCACAGCCACAAATACAGCTTTCAGAGCCCATTAAAGAACCCGCTTTACCCCAGGCCACAGCTGGGGACATGGTCTCTGCAGGCTCTGGCACCACATCACCAGCATCTCCCCCTGATGCTGTTGCTGCTCCTGCCGCCACAAGTGATTTGAAGGCACCAGTGCCTCCTGCTGTTCCTGCAGCTGCCCCACCGGATCAGAATGTCCCAGCAGCAACTTCTGCAACAAACATTGCCTCTCCTGCAGAAGGCACAAGTGTGTTGGCTGCTACCTCTGATGCTACTACATGTGTTCAAAGTCCAGCTGTCGGTGCTCCTGTGTTTGCCCCCACTTCTGCAGGCTCCTCGGTGTTCTCTCAGCCTTCAAGTTCCAGCTCTTCTGGCTCAGCATTTAGCCAGCCTGCTGGTGATACAACTGCTGCTCCTTCCACACCACCTGTGTTTGGACAACTGCCAGCAGGTACCACAGCATCCTCTCCGTTTGGACAACTCACCACCAGTACCTTGGCCACTGCCACCGCTACTACACAGGCTGCCAGCTCAGGTTTTGGTACTTCTGCTTTTGGTACCACCACTACTGGGGGCTTTGGTCAGCCAGCCTTTGGACAAGCACCGACCTTTGGGCAACCAGCAAGCAGTTCTTCAGGTGGTTTTACCTTTAGCCAGTCTGGGTTTGGGGCAATGCCAGCCTTTGGCCAGCCAGCAGCTTCCACAGCAGCCTCAAGCAGTGGCAGTGTTTTTGGAGCACCAGCTAGCACCAACAGTGCCAGTTCCTTTTCCTTTGGACAGCCATCGGCCAGCACTGGAGGTGGGCTCTTTGGACAAAGCAGCCCTCCAGTGTTTGGGCAGAGCACTGGCTTTGGGCAAGGAGGATCAGTCTTCGGTAGCGCTGCCACCGTTACTACTACAACATCATCTGCTGGGTTCAGCTTCTGCCAAGCTTCAGGTAAGAACAAACGGAGGGAGATGTGATATCCCAGTGGTGATGTCTGGCTGAAGTACAGAGAGCACTGAGTCACTGGGGAAAGTAGGACATTTTTAGTGTCTTTTTTTATTCCCCCTATGGCACTTGAGGGTTTTTGGTTTGTTGGCTGGGTTTCTCTTCAGTTAGTAAGAAGAGGAGCTGCAGTGTGTGTATGAGGGGGAGGCTAATGCTGGAGACTAAAGAAGCTTTTGCTGTGCTTCACTCTTCATCAGTGGGCCTCTGAATGTAGCCTTGTCAATCCAATCTTGTATTCATTTTTATACTTACAAGTCTACCTTGACTTAATTTTGAATTATGAATTGTCCTGCCTGTACAAAAATAAGTGGGTTGGATTCAGCACAGTGTAAAAGATCTTAAACTAGTGTGCTGTTGTAAATTGTTACACTCAAGTGGCAAGACAGCTCTGAAATCATAATCAAAGCAATGAGTACAGATGCAGCACTTCTTCAGTGGGCTGCATAGAGTACAGGCAGCAGTAGATGTATAGCCAGGTAATGGTGCTATATCATTATTGGAGATGGCAGTAGATTTTAAGCCTTCCAAGTGATGGGTTAGCAAGGAACTAATCTGTTAAATCTGCTTTTGCCTTTGGAAACATCTCAAAATGAAATATAGCAGCAACATGAGCATCAGCTACCTTGTCTACACAGTTCAATTGAATACTTGAACAGACCAGGCCTTCTTTGTCAATCTCCTTTTGTTCTCCACATTGCTACAATATATTGTTGGTTTTTTTCCCAAAGCTTTGTCTGTACAATCTTCAGATGGCTCCCAGGGACAAGTGAAAAGTACACAGTAATAATAGAGAACATGTATTTCCAAAGAAGAAAAACTAATTAGGCTCATTTAATTAAAAATGATGGCACTGTAGGCAAACTGCTTGTTCATTTTAACTACAGTAACAGAGAATACTTAAATAGGGGGAAGTGAACTCTGCTTGAGAAAGGTGTTCCTAATTATAGAAATGAAAGTTTTACTACAAAATGCACATTGAAGTGAACTGGAAAATGGAACATGGAGTTCTTTTTCTAATCAAAACATTTCATTATCTATAACAGGAATCTTTAGGTAACAAAGCTTCTTACGCAAGCGCAATCAAAACGCTACAGCGCTTGTTCGTGACATGGAGGATTATTATAGCCATGTTAACAGAAATCCAGTTCTCTTATATTGTTAGCAGCAATGTCACAATTGGCCTTTTGTTTTCTGTTTGGTTTTAAGTTGGCCAAAGAGAAAAGGAGACTGACTTTCAAATAAACTCTCAATGGAATTTACCATGTGTGTGTTGGTACATACTTTAAATCTGTCTAACCCAAATATATTTGGTAACGGTGTATCCTGTGTTTTGGTGTAGGAGACCTGTCCTCTCCCTGCTCTGGACTAGTGTCACCTCCCTGAATTGTCTTACACCCTAGTAATAGTCATGATGGTTTATTTTCCTTTCTCTTCTTAGCAGGTTTTGGTTCCAGTAACACAGGCTCTGTGTTTGGGCAAGCAGCTAATACTGGAGGCACCGTCTTTGGCCAGGCAAGTACTTACTGCATTTGTAGAAACATGAGACTGTTTATGTAGAGTGGACTTGTTCAGGATTCCCTGCCTATTTCTGGTAAAAAGGTATAATTTGACATACTCAGTAAAAAGCATCCCAGACTGTACTGAAAGTATTTGCTATTTTAGTGGGCACCAAAGCAGCATTTGAGCAAATGTTTTCCAAGGAGCACGAGGGATAAATGTTTTATCACGTGCAGGATAAGATAAGACATGTGGAAAGTCACCTCCTTTTATTCCATGCCAAGTGGACAGTGGAGGGTAAGTTTCAAAGACATTATTATTCTGTGTCACAGACAAGGTTTAAGACAGACGTGAATAAGATTTCACTGCATTACCTGTGGGGATGTAATTGCTTTCTGGTTCATCAGCTCCTTCATACATCTAGAGGAACAGGCCAAACAGAAAGATCTGCCTTGGGAGCTTGTGGTGCTTTGACTTTGTTTAAACCCCTTTTTGTCCTTTTTGTGTTCTAGCAGCCATCTTCTTCCAGTGGAGGCTTGTTTGGAGCTGGAAGTGGTGGGAGAGGTGGAGGCTTCTTCAGTGGTCTGGGAGGAAAGCCAAGTCAGGATGCAGCCAATAAGAATCCCTTCAGTTCCTCCAGTGGAGGATTTGGATCTGCAGCTTCCCAGAGTAAGTGAACAAAACAAGAATACAAAATGTGCTGTGATTTCCATCTGCTTTTGGGATCCCATCTGCTTTTCTGCTGTTAGTCATGTTTGAGTAAATTCTGTGTTACCATGAAAGGCTTCTAGGGGGTAACAGAGACAGATACTACGCATCATGTGTAATCTGGAATTTTTCTTTTAGGTTTATGGAGAACAAATAGGGAAGCCATTGAAACTAAAAAGCAGATGCAGCAAGCGAGAATAATATCTATATTCTGTAGGGAATTTGTGGCCAAATGCTTCTTTAAAATGGAATATTCTAAATTCTTGTCACTGAATTTCTGCTTCCAACTTGACTGGAAGTTAGAAAGCTTTAATTATTTTTAACCTTCTCTAACTCTGGGCAGTATTAATAATCTAGGTTCAAGAGAAACCAAGCTAACAAGTATGTGATGGGTAGCAGTATCCTCAGCTTTGGCCCCGGAATGACTAACACATATGGATAAGCTCTCTGTCTGTCATTTTTTGTATATAGGAGGAGATGTGAATTTCTTCAGTCACATGGATGTAAAGAAAAACAAATGTGTGCAGTGGCTGGTTTGGGGATGTAGTCTGTTTTGGCAAGGAAGCAGAATTAATCAGTTTTTACCCAGATTTGATAGGCAGGGTGGGTCTCTCACAGGTAAACTCGTACAAGGAATTGTGTTGAAGCCCTCTTTGGGAGGAGGGACTCATCCCTTGTCCTTTCTTTTGCTCCAGTTGTCAGCTAAAAGGCATCAGTCCACATGCGTGTGTTTGCTAAATCAGTCTGCATGTGAGGTGCCACACCAACCCTCCCACATGTTGCTTCTTGTCCAACCAACCTACCAAAAGAGGCATGAAAAGTAGTTAAGAATAAATTAAAGCTGCTCACAGGTTCCTTTGCACCAGCGACTTTAAGGGGCTATTAGAAATTCTTTCTAGAAGCTATAAAGGATTAACTGTAAAGGCAAGAATCAATCACTGTCCACTAGTGTAAAGATCTGATTTTTGAATGCCAGAGTCAAGATAAAAACATGTTAGTTTTGAGTTTTCTGGGCTAATAGGTCTTGGTAATACCCTAAAATTTGAGCTGAATGCATATATGCCATTGTGTGCTCTAGCAATTAGTTGGAAATACTAGCAGGTGCTCTCGTGCCTTTCGTGTGCAGCAAGTGTAGGTCTGCACTTGTTCCATGCATTTGGATGTCACAAAAGGGATTCATAATGATTTCTGAAGTGTTACTGTTATTTAATGAGACTGCCCAACTTTGTTATTTCATCACTTGTGACATGGGTTTGGGAGAAGGGGAAGGCAGGAGGGGTGGAGTCCAGCAGGTAGAAAGCACAAAGAAAGGGAAACTGTGTCCAAGATGTAAAAATAAGGGAACAAAGGGAAGCTGTAGAATTCACTGCAAGTGGCTAGAAGTTGGCTTCAAGTCTTGGGAGAGCAAATCCATTTGTTTTATTACATCTTTAATGATCCTTTGGGATTAATGGTTGAGGTCAGTCCTCTAACTTTGCTAATTGATCCCTCCTTTATTGCAGCACTGGGTTTTGTGATAAAATAAAACAGATGGTTCACCAGAGAGGAGCTTCGGTTATTCTGTGTCCTGCCACTAGATGCTAAATCCCTCTGTAGCCTTATGAGAGAAGAAAACTTGAGTTATTTCTCAGTAAGGCTGGAAAAGTTTGGCTCCTACTTTAAGGTTCTGTCACATAGTTGTGTTAGGAAATACTAGCCATTGCCAGAATAGCTGAGAATCTTTAACTTATGGTAAACTCCTATTTGTGTTGTCAAGAGAGACTGATTCTAGCTGCTGTGATTTCTCACTTGAGGGATTGTCTTTTAGTGACTGCGGCACAGGATGCAACTAAAATCATCCATCACTGTGATTTCCTAGATTGCAGCAATAAAGGGTTGTTGGTGGTCCGTGAGATCCAGAATGGATCTCGGTGAAACTACAAAGCCCTCTAGGAACATGGGGAAATTTGGCTTCTGCCTGCAGAGTGCTGTTTTCAGTGTGGTGTTCATTTTGTGCTTGGGGATCTGCTAATCCCGATAATAAAGTATAATGTAGGATGTTGTCTGTTATGAACTTCTCAACTCTTCTTCTCCCCAGATTCTTCCAGCTTATTTGGAAACAGTGGAGCAAAGACTTTTGGATTTGGCAGCTCATCTTTTGGAGAGCAGAAGCCTACAGGCACTTTCAGCTCTGGTGGTGGAAGTGTGGCATCTCAAGGCTTTGGATTCTCCAGTCCAAACAAAGCAGGTACTTTGTTTAATCCACCCTCTATGAACAGCCATGGTTATCTGTGAGACATTTAGGATTCTACCATTTAGATGTCTACAGCCTGGACTCGATACATGTACAGGAATTGTCTCTGAACAATTAGTGAATGGAACTTTAGCTGGTGGATTCAAGGCAAGGATTTACAATTCTATGTGCAGAAAAGCATCCAATAAACTACGTTTTCAGGTGTTCATTCCAGAAATTCCCACTGCAGTTTAGGAGCAGAGAGCTGTGTGAATTAGTTCTGGTCTTAGGTACCATAAAATGAGGAACACAAAGTATGGAACTGAAGAAATTTTTCCCATTTTAGATGCTTCCTTGGAATATTGTCTTCCAGACTTCACTCTGAGTTTTGTAACTCTTTTTGTCCCTATTTCTTCACTTGAGTGAATGCAGATGCCTGCAGTGGGAAAGCGTCCTCATAAAACTTGCATCCGACATGGTTCAGGTCCTTCTCTTTTGAAATCAGTCTTGACCTGCCATCATCCTCTCTTCTGTTCTCTGCCAATTGAATTAATTGAATCAAATATTGGAAATTTCACAAAAGCTCTTTTCTTTTTACTGTCATCTGCCCAAAGAAGGAGCCACAAGAGGAGTGGTGAGTGGCAAAATGTTCATTTTGTTGATAGTCAGACAAAAATGGAGGTCCAAAGGGTCAGGCAAAGCAAAGCTTCTCTCCTTTATCCTCAGCCCATTCTTACAGTGCACATTGATGAAGATGGGTACCGTGCTCCAAGAGTGTCTGTTGAAGCTTTGTTACTGGGGGAAGTAGTAAAGATTTAGTCATCCTTGAAGTTGTCTTGAGAAAATGGTGCTCATGAGCTCCCTTTGGAGAAGCAGTGCACTGAGAGGAAGCGCTCTCTGCTTGTCATTAGCTGTGCTCTCATGTTAGTGAAGTGGCTGAGAGCATAATGATGGTGCTGTCAGATCCAGCAGCCCTTTGTAAGGTGTCTTTCAAGTATTGCATTCCACTTGGTAGCTGTAGTTTCTTGTGTCTGGCATACCTCCCATCTGCTGTTTTTGCTAGAGGAGGAGAAAGGCATTGCTGAAGGAAGTTCTTCTTTCATTCACCCACGAACTCTTTCCTTGCTTTTGGTTAGTTTCAGAATTCTTCTTGTGATAGGATTTTCAAGTAGTTTCTGCAGAAAATTCTTCCACTCACAGCGAGCTCAGATCCTTCCCTCCTCTGCTTATATTTGCTAAACACCGAAATGAACGGGATGTCTTCCCCTTTCAGCTGCAGTGAAGGGTTTTGCTTGATTGGAATCCCCCTTTGCCCTGGTTTCACTACTTAAAAATAGTGGAGAAAGAAAAATGAAACATGTTAATATGCTTTGCAGAAGAGAGTTAATGCCAAGCAGAGCTTCAGCTCCTGTGATAAATACTCTGACTTCCTAGAGATAGAGGTAACAAGATACCTATTCTGTGTTTAAATAATTCAGGCCTAGCATTTATTATTTTCCAGACCTTTTGTGTTTACAGCCAAACACTATCTGTTACCTTGACATGGACTGGAATTTCACCCAGGGTATTGAAACGTGGGGTGGTATCCCATCCTCATCCCTAGTCAAACAACAGAGCAGGTGTCCCTCACGCTCCACAGTGTCAACTAGAAACAGGACAGTAGTATCAGCAGATGAATATAGAATAAAATCATCTGTGTAGGAGTCTAGATAGAGCTGCAGAAAGCAGCTAAACCCTGAAGAGAAATTGCCAAGAGCGGAGTTCAGCTCCTGATTCCCTGCAGGAATCTGCTGACCTGGCATTTAATCATTGCATGTTAGTTTCCACCACTTAAACCAGGATTAGATGATACCCTACCTGAATCTTTTTGCATCACGGCAGCACCTAAAAACCAAGCTCACTATCTATGATCTGATCTTAAGAGGTGAGGGACGCTTACCCATTGCATAAGGGAGTTCTTCCAGTTAAAGCACTTGCATGCATGAAGTTCTGTCTGCAAGACACCCGTGTGTCCTTCCAGAGCTTTAGATTAGAAGCCAGGGTAAAACACTGCAACCAGGCCACAGCAGCAAACGTGCACAGAGCTGACCTTTACAGGAGGCTTTTCATTCTGCACTGTTCTTTGGGGTCCTTTGGATAGTAACTTGTTTAAATGGTGATGAGCAGAGCTTTACTTTAAAAGTGACTACATAAGTTAAGCTTTTTTTTTCTGGTAAGAAGTGCTAGTTTTATGATGAAGGAAGAATATGTGTTTTTTGAATAATAATAAAAGCACCAGTCTATCACCTGCTCTATGTATGTTTATTGTAACTTGGTTGTTGTGCACATTTCTATCTCACAGTTAAAATTCTGGTCTTTTTTTTATATAAAGCCAGTAGAGATTCCTTCACAGTGTGCTACCATGTATGATGTATAACCACCTTCTAGTACAGCTCTGGGGATTGAGTCGATCTTGTGATGAAACGTTCAAGAGACCCAGAATATGGTTTTCTTCTGGATAGTCTCTTTAATTTGGTGCAGTTTTTTGCGTGCATTCAGCCCCTTTTCTTATCCCTGCCATACCCTGCAGTTTGGTAGCAGTGGGGCAGTTAGTTTTATAAATAATGCTGTGTCCATATGATAAGGTGAACAGCCCCATTATGGAGATTGTCTGCTTAGAAATCTAGTTCTTTGTTTTGTCTCTTTCTTTCTGCATTATTGTTGATGTGATGTTCTTGTTCCTTTTTTGCCTCTGTTTTGCTCAGGTGGCTTCGGTGCTGCTCCAGTGTTTGGCAGCCCTCCCACTTTTGGGGGATCCCCTGGGTTCGGAGGGGTGCCAGCATTCGGTTCAGCCCCAACCTTTTCAAGCCCTCTGGGCTCAACGGGAGGCAAAGTGTTCGGCGAGGGTACAGCAGCAGCCAGCGCCGGAGGATTTGGGTAAGCCACCGGGGTCCAGGCATGGGGAAAACAACGTTGTTGCATGCCAAACACTATTACGTTTAGCTACCTCTGCATTAAGGTAAAGAATATGTTCTGTGATTGACTGCAAAGCTCTAAGTGTCCATGGTTTGTTAGTTTAAAAATCAAAGAAAAAGGCAGAGAACGAAGACTTCATTCCCAAAGGAAATAATGCGTATGATCTCATTTCAATGCTGAAACTACTGTGTTGAATCTTTAGTTTCAGAGATTCAGAGGGGAAGGGATGCGAGTCATCTTGCAACTGTCTAAGGAAATGCAGGAGTATTTTCTGTGTGCACACTTAATGAGTTCAGATCTAGGCCTACAAACTGTGCCTGGCAGAGCAAATAATAAACATCGTTATCTGTGACTGTCTGGCCACCTTATCTGCTTGTGAGATTTGGGCTAGAGATACTAATGAGAATTCAGGCTGTCCTCTCACCTTTGGAGGTGGGATGAAGCATTTGTAACAGTCTGTGCTCCCGGAGCGATTCGTGTTTATCCCACACTGATTGGTTTTGTCTGTTTCTGTACCCCTTAAGCCTGTGCTTGGCACCAGAGCAGATAGCACTTCTTGTTTTGTTCATTAAACACAGAATTTCCAACCTTGCAAAGCAGCTTCTGCAATAGGCAGCCAGTGCACTTCAGCATTGCACCACCAGCAAGCAACTCTCCTTCATGCCCTACAGTTATATTCAGACAGAATAGACCCAACTGAAAAAAGGAAAAACCTCCAGTGAGAAGAGGAAACTGGGATCTTGGTGTTTACTTATTTCACAAGCATTTCTCTTTTAGTTCCAGCAGGAACTGCCTTTATGTAAGGGACATTAGAACATCCAGAAGTGTCACCTGTTAATTCCCCATGAGTTTAGGCAGATGCCCATCTGCCAGGGCACTCCTGAGCTACGGGAGGCTTCAGCTCAGTGGTTCTGCTGCATCCTGAACTCTGGTGCAGCGAACTGGAGAGTCCCTTTGGAAAGAGTAAAAACACAGGCAGCTTATTTAAATCCCCACAAAGAAGGATGCAGGGATGACTTAGCTTCAACCCAAGTGATACTTTGTTGAGTTCCAGCTTGCACCCATTGTGCTGCAGGATTTTGTAGTGAAACTGGATGCGTTCAGTGACAATGTTGGAAGCTTAAAATGGGATTTGGAACAAGCAGCATGATGATGCAAACAGAGCTCTTGCATAAGCACTCTGCAGGCTCAAGAAAGATAATTCAGTGGCTTTAATTGTGGCAAGTTTTGAGACTTTCTACTCTAGCAGGAAGGTGCAGACTCGGTCTGATGTTTTCAGAGTTTCCTGAGGAATTGGATCCAAACCTCACCATAAAATTGTGAGCAACAGCTTAATTCTGCAGTATAAGGCAGTGTCTGTGCAGGGCACCTCTCTTCTGCCTTTCTCTTGAAGTGAAACTCTAAAAATCCCAATTCTGGAGAAGTTACTTGCCAGTATGTTGTGTGGTATTAGCTCCGAGTGGCTGAGAACACCCTGCTAACTTCAATCCATGTGATTCATTGCTGCTTCAGTTCTGAAAGATCTGCATCACTTGATAAATGACTTGGGTGTCAAAAATAGAAACCACTACACTCCTGCAAAGTCTGTAATTCCGACTGTTTGTGAGCAAATCATGTTTTGCTTGCATAAACTAACCTCAAGTGCCTCTCAATTCTGTTTTGCATAGAAGCTTACAAAAGACCTGGAAATGTGAGCAAGCTAAGTTTGATTAAATTGTTACCAGGCAAGCACTGTATTTCATGTCTTTTTACGTAAAAAAAAACCAAACGTATCCATAGCTTGAGCTGTTTCTCTGCTTGTGCTGTGCTTCAGCTTTTTCAACAGGCATGTTCTTCTGGTTGCAACTGAAAGAGGCAGTTTGAACCACACGTTTCCTTGTCACTATTTTCATCTCCACTTCCTTTCACCGGTTAGACATGATGTGTGTGTTTAGTTGCACGGTCCTGAGAAGATGGAGCACTGTGAAAATCTCTCGTTCTAAAACACATCACTTTATCTTGCTGCTCTTTGAAAAATGAGCTCCAAAACTTGTTCTGCCTTTCCTGAGGAAACCGTATTTGCGGTTCTGAGCTGAAGTTGTCTGCATGTTATATAGGTCAAGAGCCAAACCAGAGGCACAGGGATGATTAGCAGGGCCATGAACTGCCCACTGTATCTAATGCTGTATGTGGAAGCGGCGTGTGCAGTTGACAGTGTCTGGGATATGAGAGGTGATGTCCTTTACCAGGTGAATTGCTTGTCAGACTGCTGCAGGAGTTATCTTTAATGTGGAGAGATAGATTTTGATGTGTGTGCTGGGTTTTTCTGGGTTTTTTTCTTTGAAGTCTACTAGATCTGGATGGATGGAGAGGTGCGTTAACGTGCTGTCAGCTCACATTTTAAGTCAGAAATGACAGGAGCTTGTGTAAGGCACAGCCTTGCGAAGCTGGCACGCTGTTTGACTCAACTGTCTGCTCATGGGAGGGCTGGCGCTGGGTTAGTGCTTGCAGCATTGTGCACTTGCAGAGCTGAATGCGCAATGTCTGTGTTTTGCCCTGTTCAAGTTAGAGAAACACTTGAAGCTTGGTTTTGGAAGGCACCTCTTAATGCTTCTCCCAATTCTGAATCATGAGTGGGGGCAGAGAACCGTGATGTGTACTGTGGTCTCATTAGTGTGTCATGCTGATAGCTCTACAATGCCTGGTTGGACAGAGTGGGTGGAGAAGGGAGACCAATTTCCATATGTAAAAATGCTTCTTATTTCAGTCCCCAAAAGCAATTGGGGAAGTACTCCAAGGGTAGTGGGGAGAAGTGCCAGGTAGGTGCAGATCTTCAGGGAAGCACTGGAACTGAGTGTGGTTCCAAATGGGCTGGGTGAGGGAAAGGAATTGAGAGATCTGCAGATGGTTCATGTAGGCAACAGGTTAAGGAGCCATCTGAAAGCTGGGAGTCAGGGCTCTGCTTTGTGCTCTGGCCATCAGCAGCTCATACCAATCCTGTGTTTGCTGGGTGAAAACTGCACAGGGGTGAAATAATATCTTCCATTTGATGGCTGGAGTTGGTATTTCCAAGCACTTAAAAACGTACCCTGTGTAAGCATGAACATATTTGTCTTTCTACCTGGTGTACGTTAAGCACAGGAGCTGAACAGATGTTTGTATGTACAATAGCCTTCCCCAAAAGAGTAAATCCATTTTCAGAGCGAGCAATTATCATTATTCATATCAGGTGGTCTCTCTTGATGCATCATTGTTTGAGTGTGCTGTTATCATTGCAGGTGTGGGGACAAACTTCCAGTGTAAGTTAGATGATGTTTGCAAATACTGATTTTTCTCTTTAAACTGCAGGTTTGGTGGTACCAGTAACAACACAGCATCGTTTGGCACACTAGCAAATCAGAACACCCCGACATTTGGCTCGCTCTCACAACAGGGAACCGGTTTTGGCACACAAAGCAGTGGATTCTCAGCTTTTGGGACAGGTGGAGGAGGTAGGAAAAGCTGAAATATAATGAACCTAACAGGCCCCATGTGTACAGCTTTCCCTGGAACGTGGGTGGGAATCCTCAGCTCCTTGTCAGAAATCTGCGTGGCCCTAATGCTGCTGTAGGGAAGGCACCACGGCCTGGAGAATTGTGCTGCAGGGGCGGGTATAGTGTCTTCCCAGAATTTAGCTCGTAATTCCATCACTGAGGTGCTGTGTTGCATCTGAATAAATCACTCTCATCGGGTTAATGCTTTTCACCCCCTTTCATAAAGCTGTTCTTTCTTCTCCAAGGGAAATCTTGAGAAATAATGACTATTCAGTACCATATGCATGGGTCTCTGTATGTAAGCACTTGGTGTCAGAAGAAGATGCACTGCGAGCCTGAGCTGGAACAGCAATAGCCAGATTTTTATTTGGTGTAATTTGGTAAAGCTGCAGTGATTTATGCAGGGCTGAGAACAGAGCCTTTGGGAGATGGTATGCTCATTGGTGTCACCATTGGCTTGTATTAAGCACAAGCTCCCTCTTCAGAGAGCCGCCCTCTATTTTCATGGAGAGGTGAATAAAGCAGGGACATTGTATGCAGTTACTGCTAATGAATGGACCTAGCTGATTGCCAGTGAAAGCAAAGCCCTCTTAGGAACTGAGGCAAGTCAGTTTTCTTCTAGATGGAGATTTGACTTCCATTGTTTGCGCATTGCTCTTTCCCTGGCCTAAGGCAGGAAAGAAATGCTTTTCAATCTGTGTGTGGGAGGGGATGTTTACTACAAATCTTACGCATTCATTTTACTTTTTACCAATTATTTTCTTACTCTTGCATTTCTTTCAGGGTTTGGGTTTGGATCAGCTAACACGTAAGTACCATTTTCTGTCCACTTCTTCATTAAAAATACAAATAGAATCAAAATAGAAGAGTTGAATGGTTTACGAGAGCAAGCTTTGAAAGTAGCACTAACACACGAGTCCTGGTTTCCTTTTCAGTGGCACTGCATGGAGCTCAAAGTCGTGGCTCTCAGTGTGTGCTTTCCAGTGAGGTTAATCTTTCATATGAAAGAGAATTTTCGGTTAGATCACGCTCTTTCTTCACCTCTCAGGCACAGGATGTGCGTGCTCACGCTGTGTGTGCGAATCTAATATCTACTCCATTTATCAGGTTGAAACAAGGAATTAAATAAGTACTTTTCTGGCTGAATTGAGATGATGATTTACAGTTAAAGAACAGGACGAGGAGCCGAGGTTAGCTCTGTCATTCACTCTGCCACTGCCCTGCTCAATTAGGTTTAGCAGGTTTCTTAAACCTTAGTTTCCCTATCAAGCAGAGCATGTGTATCTCTCCAGAGAGAATTATGCTTATTCTAGAACCTTCCATCTAGGTATGATGTTATACCTGAGCATCAGGTAAAAGATGCTGGAAATACCAATGCGTTCTCATAAGCTTCTGATATTAGGGAGACTGGAAGAGTGTTTGAGAGAGCTGCTGACTTAATACTGCCTGAGGGAGACTCCAGCACTCATTGCTGTGTCGTTTCTTTTCTTCTTGCTCCACAGATCTTCCTCTGGATTTAGTGGATGGAGAAGCTAGAAACATCCTGAGCCCTCCTGCAGAACTGCCATAGCTCCTGCATTCATGGATCGTCCGCACGACCAATACAGTTTTTCTTTGAAATACAAGTTCTCAGACTTTTTTTTTCCTTTTTTTTTTTTATTTTAAGAAAAAGATTTTGCTTATTTTTATGTAACACTTGTTCTCACTCTATATTAAACTATTTTATCTGCCTTGATGTTAGTTGTGTGGAAGGCTTTATCTCCCTGCATCTAGAAGAAATAGATGTGTGCTGTGGTTACTAGCCCCGTAGTGGAGTTACCTTTCTGCTGTTCATACCATGCCTAGACGAGGGAGTAGCTCAAGTTGGTTTGTGATACAAACCAGCATGTATTTCATTGAAGAGAATGACTGATTGTCCAGGGCCCTTCACAAGGGGCTGAAGTTTTGCCCTGCTAATTTTAAGTATGGGATGGTCCACATGCTTCTCTCAGTGAAGTGCTAAAACTGAGTCATGTGTGAGCCAGAGGCTTAGTGGAGAAATAGGAAATTATCTGAGAAGAAACTGGCAGCGTGCAGAACACGTTCCCATGGCAGTAACATTCAGCAAAGAGGTGGGAAGGAAAAGCTCTCCTATTTTTACCTTTCTGTACATTTTACAGAGCTCAGAAAATGAAACTCGGGTTATAGGGAAAACTTCTGGCCCTTGTATTAAAGCGTGACCTCCATGCAGAGGCGTTAGTGATTCTGCAGCTTACAGTTTTGGCTGTGGGCTTGTGACATGTCTGAGATTGTGCTTGTTCCCTGTGGCTCTCAGCTTTAGTCAGGGTCCTTTGAAACTCTCATCTGTTTATACTTGAGCATAGTGAGCAAGTGGCTTAAAGAATGCCCTGAAGGCATTCTGGACAGACACTTTCTCTGTCTGATGCATCTGACCTTCACGAAACCTCTACATGATGTAAATGGGGTTTTGTTGCTCTCTGAAAAATGCTTTGGATATAACAGCTTGTGTATTAGTTGAATACATGCAGATGGGATGGGGTTTATCTTGTTGGTTCTGTTAGGACATTTTGGGGTAGTTCTGCTTTTGCTGTTATCAGCAGAAACATTAAGGTTTCTTTTTAATACCACACAATTTAAGTGTCACTTTTTGGTTTGGTGGGCACGTGGTGGCTTTTTGGGATTGTAAATAGTTGATAACAGCTTGGGTTTGGGTCCAAGTGTTCTAAACCAAATACTTCTGTCAACAGTTCCTGAAGAAATCCCTTCTTTCAAGTCAACCTAAAAAGTTAGTGTTATCCTAACTCCTGTTGTGGAAAGCATCCTTCTGATCTCTGCAACAGGGAATGACATTAGGTAGGTCCCCTTTAAAAAGGAAGACCACTGAAAGATGGGAATTACAGTGTACAAGGAAGGCTTATAGCTTTGCTATAGGCTCCAAGGCTTTTACATATGCCCTGGATTTCTGAACCCTGGCATGCTGCGTGTCAAATTGAGACAGCACCCTTGTCAGGGGGTTGTTTATAACCTCCCTTTCCCTCTAATGGAAGAGAGTGAGCACTAGAGATCCTTGGAGAAAATCTACTGCAGTTTTGCTGCTTTGGCGATGGAAGAAAAAGCTGAAGATGGTTGAAGTGTGCCCTCCTGCTACGTCCTCCTTGACTATACACCATTTCTTATGGCCTAGAGGTGATACTGCTGCTCTGCTTTCCTTCCTCTTTATAAATAGCAGTTGGCCCAAACCATTGACCTTAAATTCTTTGCATTAATCTCCCCTCGCTGTGGCATGCGACACCTCCTAGCGAGGCCATATCAGCTGTGCTGCCCCAGATAGCTAATGAACCTCTTGCTATGGAGAAGATTGGCTCGGTAGGAATGTGATGTTGGCACGCTGGACCATTTCAAGTTTCTCTTGTGGAATGATGGGAGCAGTTGGGGGGTTGTCCCTGCTGCGCTGCTCGCTACCTGTTAACTCCTTTACCCTGGGCGAGTGAAGGGCCTGTGGAGTCACTCCAGATCCTGACTGAACACTGATTTCCTTGCCACGCTTCCAACATCATGGCTGAAACAACCCAGCCCCCTGAACTGCGTGCCCTGTTTCCATAGTAGCTGCTGGAGGCGCCGAGCAGCGCAGAGAGGCTGATCGTGACCACGAGCCTACAGGAATAAGCACAAAACGGCAGCAAAGTCGGCTTTGAGCAAATCTGCATTTCCATGGGATGAGTCAAGGGCTTGGCGAGCGCCTGGCTCTGGGTCGGTGGTTGCCAGGAGCTGGAGCTGGCTGTCAGCTGCGTTAAGTGGTCTGGGACCTCATGGCCTCCCTCCAGGGTTCTGGGGACAGATGTCCACCACAGAGTAAAGCCACTACCGCAGGAAGCCCCGGCTCAACAGAGCTGGTAAAGAAGCCAAGGACTGACTGGGCTTGGAGCCCTGGTTCTGGTGGCTTTGTTGTCCGTGCTGGTTCATCCTCAAGTTAACTGATAGCAGTGACTGCTCTAAAGGAGCTTACCCGCTTGTCTGTGCTAACGTGGCCGTGCCTTTTTACCCTGCCAATTCCGTATGAGAAGAAGCCTCGCCAGGCTTTCATCAAAGGTGGATTCTTAATTATTTCTAATGAAAGAACACATTTTTCCCTCCCTTGAGACCGTGCCATGGCCTGGAGGCAGCGGGAAGCCGAGTGCTATGGCAGAGTGCTAATGATGATGTTACAGGCTCGGTGGGCAGAAGGGAGCCTGAGGTGTAGAGAGAGGATCTCCCCAAACCCATGGAGAGACCAGGACGGGGATTTCTGCTTCTTGAAAAGGGAGGAAAGCTCCTCAAATCTCTCTGTAAAAGGGGCAAAACGTGGCTGTGTCAGAGGCACAAGAAGGAATGAGAATTATTTCATCTTGTGTTTTGAAGAGGTTTACTGTATAATGCTTGGTATTCCAGAATACAGAGGTCTTGCAGAGTGCCAGTGGTCTCAGCGATACCCCTCAGTCTGGATCCATCTCCTGGGAGAGCAGGCCATTGTTTCTTTGGCTCTTCCTTGTCACAGCACCATAATGCCATAAGAACAAGGAGGAGTTGCAGGGTTGGAGCTCATCTCGTGCTGCCAGGTTATATCCCATGTGGCCACCTCCCTGCCAGAGGAGAGCCAACCTGCACTGACCAAACCCCTGATGGTGCTCAATGGGAGAAAGCAGACGTGTTTGACGTGACCATCCTGCTCAGGGCAGGCTTATCGGGCTCAGCAGCGAGCTGCTGGGCTGTGCTGGTGTCTGTGTGGTGAGTCTCAGGCAGGAGGAGGATCCCCGTGAGAGATGGGGGAGGTTGGAAAAGTGCTGCTGAATGTTCCAGGCCCTTGATCCAGCTGCTGGGAGCAGGGTGGAAAGGTGAAGGAGGGTGGTGGCATTACTTCTCCCACCCTTTGCCAGCAATCCATGTGGAGCTGCCTCGCTTTCCCCCCTCAGCCCATCTGTGTCCCTGCTGCAGCAAGCCCAGAGGCTGAAGTGACATTTTATTTATCCCTTCTTAGTTTTCATGCGTCCTGCCCTTGTGCATTGCTTCCAGCATCGCTTCCAAGGAAAAATAATCCTGCATGAGCATGTCTGCTGGTGCCGAGGGAGTGTTTGTTCCCAGATAAATGTCGTGCTGAGCCCCAGGGGCTCAATGGGATGAGCAGCCCGTGGTCAGCAGTGAGACCAGCGCTGTTCTCCCCCCTCTCACAGCAGCGAGACCCCAGGGTGATGCAGCCATCAAGTAAAGACCATTCCTCACCGAGGGATGAGCTTGGACGTGCGAGCATCATTTTCAAGCTCTCTCCTGCATGGACTGTGGATGTCTGTCCCGGCTGCACGAGGACCCTGCGGTTATGCTCAGTGAGGTTACACTCCCCATGTCCCCTGCCTCCCACCATCCCCACCTCTTTTGTCCGCGGTCACAAAGCTCCTTCCCCGTGTCTCTGGCTCCTGCTGCAGTCAGGACTTCTCCTACGTGCCCTTATCACGCACGGGCACACTCTGTGCTGCCAGCGCCCGTGTCTGAACTCATCCTGTTCCCAACCACGAGATAAGATGAGGTGTGGGGGCACTGCTCCTGGGGGTGCGCAGCCATGGGTGATGCTGCAGCCTTGGGCTGGGCTCCTGCCTCGTCACTGCATCCCCTTCCGACAGGGACAGGACCCCTTTTTGTTTTGGAGCCGTTCCTGGGTCAGTGCTCCCTATAGTATATGGGGTATGTAGTATAATATATGCATATAGTATATGGAGTCTCTGCAGTGCTGCTCTGCAGGCACCAGGAGCTTCAAATGCACTGTGTTTAAATGATGCTTCAAAGGTGAAATAAGCTATTGCCCTATACTGAGGGAAATAGGGGACAACCCCACAGTTATGAACCAGGGCAGGATCAGACCTCACTCTCCAGTGCTGCTCTCCTGTGTCTGGGCTTTTTGGCAGGGCTCTGTCTCCAGTTTACACTGACTTACAAAGGTGTTACTAAAGGCAGCCTTGGGTACCTCGGTGCAGATTAATGAGCTGTGTTATAATTACACGGAACACATGACGCGGTATTTTTGCTCTATTTTTTTTTCAATAGATGCCTCAAGGCTCTCCAGTGCATTGCTAAAAATATTGGGCTTTAACACTTGAAAACATGCGAAGGAACAGAGCGAGTGCTTGCAGCTGCTGCACGTGAGCAGCTAAAGGAGACGTGAGACAGAAGAAACAGGAAACAAAACCTGATTTGCATCAGCAGAGGGAAGTCCCTGCAGAGCGCTCGGAGCAGGATGGGGAGGCCGGTGCCCTCCACTGAAGGAATTGCTGCCCCTGCTTAAAACCCGGCTTAGGAAATTGCAGAGCCCCAAGTGGCAAAAGGTGAAGTTTGAATTGCAGCCCCTGTACCCACTGCAAGGAAGGGTTGGGGTTGGTGGTGCTTGAACGGGGCTCCAGCTCAGCAGCCAAGGTCCTCCCCGTATCCTCGTCCTTCCCGGTGTCCCTGTGCACACAGTAAGGGACCGGGTGCTCTTGGCTTTGTCAGGGTGTCACCCCAAACAGCTGCGGGCTGGCTGCTGTCCTCTCCGCACCCCTCCCTCCGCATCTAGGACATCTAAATTTAACCTCCTCCCAACAGATGAGCGGGACAGTTTCCACCCTGCAAAGGGATCCCGGAACCTGTCCTCTCCTCGGGCTCCATCCCTGCACATTCCCTCCCTCAAGCCATGACCTCCTGTATGTGCCTTTCCTCCTGCCCTTGGCTTTGTGCCGCCGATGGAACTCCCCAAACGGGCCATGTGGCTCTGTTTGATGTGGGCCCGCACCTCGGTGGTGTGGATGCTGGCGCCGGCTCTCCCCACTGCAAAGGTTGGCTGCAACCTTCAAGGGGCACAAGAGGCTTGTAGCAGGCTCCAGGCAGGACACGAGGAGAGGCAGTGAAGGGGGGACATGGGTGCGAGGTGCTCCTCATTGGGGGTGCTCCACAGGAAAGCCTTGAGCGTGGTGTGGGTCCTCCAGTCTGACCAGGCAGGAGGGTTCTACTGTACTGGGTGGAAGCGGATGCAGCAGGTAGAGCAAGTCTTTGCCCTGCTGCTCCTTGGAGAAGCCTTGATCCTGCTTTACAGCCTCGTCAGAGAGCAGCAAAGCTACTGAAAGGACAAGGGAGAAATTTGTGTCTTCCTTTGGCGTGTGGGCAGGAGCCCTTGGAGGGGTTGGTCATGGCAGGAGGAGCTGGAGCACGGACCTAGGAAGTGCCAGGATTGGGCCCTGTGGATTAACAGGTCAGTACAGAAGCTGTGCTCCCCAAAAAGAATCCCAGCAGTTTCCTTTCCTGGAAAGCAAATACAATCATAGAATAGTTTGGGTTGGAAAGGACCTTAAGATCATCCAGTTCCAACCCCCCTGCCATGGGCAGGGACACCTCACACTAAACCATGGCACCCAAAGCTTTGTCCAACCTGGCCTTGAACACTGCCAGGGATGGAACATTCACAACCTCCCTGGGCAACCTATTCCAGTGCCTCACGACCCTAACAGGGAAGAATTTCCTCCTTATATCCAATCTAAACTTCCCCTGTTTAAGTTTGAACCCGTTACCCCTTGTCCTATCACTACAGTCCCTAATGAAGAGTCCCTCCCCAGCATCCCTATAGGCCCCCTTCAGATACTGGAAGGCTGCTATGAGGTCTCCACGCAGCTTCTCTTCTCCAGGCTGAACAGCCCCAACTTTCTCAGCCTGTCTCCATACAGGAGGTGCTCCAGTCCCTGATCATCCTCGTGGCCTCCTCTGGACTTGTTCCAACAGTTCCATGTCCTTTTTATGTTGAGGACACCAGAACTGCACACAATGCTCCAGGTGAGGTCTCACAAGAGCAGAGCAGAGGGGCAGGATCACCTCCTTTGACCTGCTGGTCACGCTCCTTTTGATGCAGCCCAGGATACGGTTGCTTTCTAGGCTGCGAGCGCACACTGCAGCTGGCTGAATGTGAACACTGTGGGGGGCAAAGAACGATGGAGTTAATACAGGGCGGTATTTCAACCCCACTTGTGTTGTGTGGCACGTTTTAACCTCTCCTTTGCCTGGGCTGGAAGGGGCAGAGGTGCTCTCTGCTGCCCGGGGTCCCCATGCCTGGCTGAGGGGCTGCCACTCTCCAGATGTGCCATTTACAGCTCAGCATCTGACCGTGCTTTTGCTAAGTAAGCATCAGGAACCCCAACTGTGGCAGCTCAGCTGCTGCGGTGCCACCAGCGCAGCTCCGTCCTGCTGCTGACAAACACGGGGTGTCTGCTGGGGGTTTGAACCAGAGCCCTGCGCCCGATGCGGTCTAACAGCTGAAGGGGCACCCGTGGGAAATGGGGTGCTTATTGCTGCCTTGGAACGTGCGTGCAGAGGTGGTGGAGCTGCTGGTTCAAGAGCGGCTTCCACCCAAACGACTCCAGGCGGACGCGTCTGAAAACGTCACTTTATTTCTCTGTTATAAAAGCAGGGTTTTGTTGGTTTTACATCTCTGTAAGTGTCCAGACTCGGTACATCTCGGGGTGGTTTTCACAGTATCTCTGCAAGACCAAGGACGATTCTTATTGCTGCGCCGGGGCTCGGGCAGCCCTCGCCTTACCCCTTGCTGCTGGACCCAGCCTTGCTCACTGCTGCGCCGGCTCAGCAGGTCTATACCCCCCCCAACACTGCTTCACTTCTCTATTGACTTTCTAAGGGGCTGCCCCGCTCTTGCCATGCTCATCTCAGCGTTAAGGGTAGGAAAGGAGAACCGTACAGCCCATGACGCTGTGGGGCTAAGGGGAGGGTCTTGGCCAGGGCTCACCCTGCTGCTTCCCACCCTGGACCACCACAGGATTCTGACTGGGATGGTCAGGCTCTAAAGAGCCGAGCATCACCGATGGGAGAGGTGAGGCAGAGACAAGCTCACGCGCATCAGGATCCCATGGTGGTGCCCCATCGCCTTACCCGTGTATCCTTTGTGCATTCCTGGTTCTGTAAGAAGCTGCCAGAGAAGGAGCTTTATTTACCTCTTATTTACCACCCTACTCAGTGCAGGATGCCCTGGGTCCCCAGACATTTAAGTCCCCATTGGGACCCTGTCAATCCCCATTCTAACCCCATGACCGTTAACCAGCCACAGCAATAGCGATGTCTATAGCACCTGCAACTTCCAGCCGCTATTCCTTCTCTATTCAATCTGTCCCAGTCAGGTCTGTAACGAAGCAGCGTTGGAAAAACATCACTTTTAATCACAACGCATGAAATCTCAAAAGAGGCAGCATCACTTTTCTATGCCATGTCTGGTGATGGAGGTGGAGGGGCACGTTTCAACCTAGGCACGGGATAAAGGCATTCTTTGGGAAGGGAGAAGTCCATGCAAAGCCAACCCCAACGTGAACTTTGAATTTCATATTTACTGCTTAGCTGGGTCTGTTCAGTGCAACGGAACGCATTAGCCAGGAGGTTACTATCAAATTGCATGGATGCATCCAGTCTACCAGGTAGAGGGAAGTAGGAGGAACGAGATTTAATGCACTGGGAGACTAAGTCCGACACAGAGCTAAGTGGAAAAGGACGTAGGTGTTCCCTGAATGTGGTTTTTGGTGACTGAGAAGAAATCTTTCCTTGGAATTCCTTCGTGCAGCTTATTAAGACAACTGGGTCCGATTTCTTGGACCCATGCTGACATCAGTGAGAACTGTAAGTACTCAGCACCCGGAGACAAAGTGAGTACCAGGCATAAATACCCCTTTCTGCTCATCCCAACGGGACTGCATCCAAGCGGTAGCCGAGATGCGAGCAAGCGTTATCAGCTCTTCACCCACAGCTCACATTTTGTCCTCTTCTGCGTGTATTGCCTAGGAGAAAATACAAGTCCCAAAGGGCTGTGCCAGTAGAGCTATAGTTAGCATTTGAATCTGTGTAAGAAAATGGAGTTTAATACAGAGTGACCGTGCAAGTCAAAGTCTCCCTAGCTTCATCCTGTATAGTCCCAAAGCCTAGATTTAGGCTAACTTTGGCTCATGGATTTGGGTTTGATCCAGTCCTCTTGTCTGCAAGCTGCTTGTGATGCTGGACTTCCTACCTCTGGGATCTGCCCGATGAAGAGAGCAGCTCCGTGACTGAGCATCTCTGAACACCAGCGCATGGAGGAGGGTGCTCTTCCTGGGAAATGGGGGTACAGTGGTTGCAGGGACCCAGGATCCTTGTTTGCTGGTTTGAGATTGTCATGGCGGGGGGATCTACCTTCTTGACCTGCTTTCCCCGGGCAGGTGATGTTGAACCTGGTGCCAAGTCGATGACGTGGCTTTGGAGAAGTGGGAAGGAGAACTTCTTGCTGGTAATGTCCTGTGCGGGAGATGAGGATGGCAATAGCAGCGAATCGGTGCCTCCCCGAGGGGAGAGCCTTTAGAGCAGCGTGTGTGTGGTTGTGAGACCTGTTCAGACCAGCTCAGCAGGGCCAGGCTTGTCTCTGGCACGCCGAGCTCTCTTCAGTCCTTGCTCTCGAGGCAAATTGTTAACAAGAGATGTTTTCTAGGGGCAGGAGCTGCAGAGGGAAGGGGAAGTGCTCTGCCTCAGGCTGTGTGCTGGAGCAAGAGAGCAGAGCCTCCGCTTCCCATCCTGTGCCCTGTCCTCCAGATGCCACCTCTGCTGCAGGACTTCCTCTGCGTGCAAACCATGCCCTTCCCATTCCAACGGCTCCTCCACGCCGGCTCCCTCTGCAGAAGTGCCTCCGGTAACCTCTGAAGCCTTATTGAAACCTACAGGCTCCACCTCCTGCTCCAATGCACCTTCCTTACTGGAGGATCTAGACCCAAGACTCAGTGCTGCCCTGCTCGCACCTTCTCACGCCTTACCCTTTGCTACATGGATGTTTGTGCAGTAACCAGACAGGCACAGTACCATGGTCCTGTCCGTACCCCATTCCTGATGGGTGCGTAGACCGTGAGGTCATTTGGAAGAAGATTCTCTAACCCCAGCGTGATTTGTTGTCATGGGAAGAAGAGTTTTTCCTAGCTTCTGCTTGGAATGGGTGCCTGTTATTTTCAGCTGTGGCTGCTCCTGAATTATGGATATTGCTGGGTAGACTTGGTAGATAAGATCTGCCCTCGCTTACACCCATGCATCTCCAATTACTTCAGAAGGATCCTTTTTATATCCCGCTCTTCTTACAGCGCTGTCAGTTGGATTTCATGGGAAAACTGGGCAACAGCTTCACCAGCAGCCCCAAGCTGGTGGATTGCGGGCTGTAGCTGGCAAACATCTGTGTGTCTTAAAGCCAAACCCCGTGGGACATCATCCCCTCTTGGTGTATGTTACCTCCCAGGGCCACAACTCCAGCTGTGAGCTTGTCCCGTACGATTATGCTAACAGGAGACTGAGACCACCAAGCGTAAGCAGTGCAAGCTTCTTGCTACCTCTTCTGTGAAGCAGGGACGTGGCCCGGTAGCTCCCACTCGAGAGACATCCTACCGCAGGTTTGGTATTTGCATTGCTTTGAAACTGAGATTATTTCCATGCTTTCTTGATCCAGGTTGTAAAACCAGGAAGATTCTCTTTTTACCGTGCTTCTCCCAACTTCAGGCCCTTTTCTTTTCCCGTCCATCAACACCCTGATGGATCCATCCCTCGCTCCAAAACTTTCTCCCAGAGATTCTGTAGAAAAAGGACATTCTGCCTGGTGGTGGTGGTGTTGGTTCGTTGTTTTTCAGACGTAGCTTTAAGGCAAAAGTTTGGCAATGCAAAGCAAAGTCTACATAAGGCCGCATGACTTGGATTTGCAACTCAGAACCTGATAGCTTAAAAAAAGAAAAAGAACCATAATCCCTATCTTAAATAATGAACTTTTCGCTCCAGGAACTTGTTTTGTTCTCAACCAAAACGGAAAAAAAATAAAAGGAAAAAAAAAAAACCAAACCCCTTTTAAAATCCCAAATAAAATGTCCTTATTGTTCGGGGCAGTCTGGACAAGCTAATGAGACTGAAGTTCAAACAGTAACTAAAGTAGGGAAGAAAAAAAACCAGCTCTAGGGGTAGACATCAGTGTTAGTTTCTTCCCTTAGGAATCCAGTGATGAGACAGACCCCGGTCAAAGGTCTCCTCTTTAGCTTTAGCACAGTGAAATCCGTCCCAATGGGAGAAGGTAGAATGGTTGCATTTGTTGAATGAAGAAAAAGTGCATTCTTGATCTTGCTCAGATTCTACGTGTGTGTTCTAATACCTAAGTGATTGTTTTGCTTCTCGGGTTCGTCGGTTCGTTTCTCTTTTTCTCCCTTTTGGTGCCGGGACGCCAGGTTCGTATTACCGATGTTTGGGAGGTATCACCACGAGCGGCTGCCCATCCTTTGGCCTCCACATGAGTACCTGAGCATCATTGGCATTGGGTTTGACAAGGGCACTGGGTGGTATTGGCTCATTCTTGCTAAGGACCTGGGGCTGCTCTTGAGCAGAGGGCTCCTGCAGCTTGGCACGCTGCCCCAAGGGTCTGCTGGGGTTCACCTCGATGCCCAGCCTCATGCGCCATTTGATAGTCTGCAAGGTCACCATCTCGTTGGTAGCCGTGTTGGTTGCCACCAGCCACGTGGTGAAGCTTTGATCCCGGTGAATGCTTGTGAGTTTGGCCACGTTGCTCTCGCTGACGGGCACTGCCCACGTCACGCTCGGGTAGAAGTTGTCGTTCATGCTGATGTTGAACTTGGACTCCTTCTTGGTGGGACCCACGATGGTGCAGGTTTCCGTCGTGTTCCCGTACCAGGGATAGTTCACTCCATCTGAGTCGCTGATGGCCTGGATTTTACCGTCCAGGAGATCCGGAAGCTCCCAACTTGACCTGCCGCAATCAACAGCAAGTTATGGATAATGCATTAATTAATTAGATTAGAAGCATGCCAGGCTTCAAGGAGGGGGTGTGAATGCATCCCCCTCCCCTTCAGCTTTTACTTGAATTTGTGCCTTTCACACCATCCTGCTGAAAACGCCCCATCCCTGCCCTTAAAACTGCCTGCCCATTTCCAGGACTGATCATGGAAGTCTGTCCTGCTGTTAAACACCACTGAGGAGCAAGCATCAAGCAGGGATACCTTGCAGGGACCGACGGTAGCCTGGAGTGGTTCAAACTGTGTCTATTTAAGGCTGCAAAGGGTAAGTGCTCCAGCGCTGGAGATAACGCAGTGTTGCAGGTATCTCCTTGCAGGTCTTTGGCTGTCTGAACACAAGGACTCGCCCCAGCACTGTATTCACCGGTGAGAGCAAGGCTCGGGGCTGAATTGCCTTCTCTCAATAGCACAATATCTCCGGTGTCAGCAGAAGATCAGGCAGGCTCAGAGCTGGCCATGGGCTGAGCTGACAAAAGGACCAAGCGATTGAAGTAGGACCCAACATAAAGCTTCCCACTGCCCTGTTCTGTTCTTCCCTTTCAGTCCCTGGATAAGCCGCTGTCTCTCCCTGCTGTCTGCCTGGCGCTGCCCCTGTAACCCATCCTTCTCCAGCCCTAGGAAGGACCCAGTTCAAAGGCTGCACCCCAGGCTCCGGGCTGGGGATGCTATTACAGTAATCAGAGAAACTGAGGTCAGCCAGCCTGTAAAACTGCCTGAGCCGGTCGCTGGGCGCTGCGCTTGCGAGCAGGCAGAAAGGTCGGGCTTTAGAGCGAGCAATGGAGTGAAAACTGCCTCTGTCACCTTGCAGCGCACAACTGGGGTTGCGTTTCTTTATTAACTTCTGATTTAATTAAGATGAGGTCTGCCAATAGGAACAAACTGCTGTAAATGCCTCAGACAAAGGGTTAGGGACAGGCAGAGCGATGGCATAACCACAGAGCATGTGCCAGGTATTTTAAGGACACTCCTTTATAAAGCAGGCTGGTAGACATGGCTCTGATGTATCTTCTCCTTCTTGCTTACGGATGAGCCCTCCCAGCATCCAGAGATGCTGAAGTGGCAGAAGGGGCTGTGTGGCAGCAGCTCCCAGCCCTGACCCACCATGGGGCTGGGATATGAGGCTGTATCCCAGCCCCCCCCCAAACCCTGTGGCCCCCTACATAATGGGACATAGTTTATCTTGGGAGGGACACCGAGGACATGTGCTCAGGCTCAGCAGAGTGACTGTCCAAGCCTTTATTAAGCCCAGTGCTGCAGCTTAAAATAGCCCCTTTGGCTGAAGCAGGGGCTGGAGTGGGCGCAAGCAGGCAGGGGGCTCATGTGGGGCCCAGCCAGCTCTAACCCAGCGCTGGATGAGCTGCTCCTCTGCTCTGGCCAGGACTAATGTGTCAGTCTCACAAGGCTGTTTTGTTAATTAGTTAATGACCGTGAAGTGCCTCCATGTTTGGAGCCATTGGATCGCTCAGCAGTTGGCTGTAAGTGCCTGGCTGGGGCTAGAGGATACTGCAGGGGATTTAAAGATCTCATTTCTCTTTTCACCCTAGCAGGGGGGGGTCCGAGTTAAAAATGCCCCCTGTGCCATGGCAGGCGTTGAGCAAAGGGCTGCCCTGTGCAGGAGGTGGCTGGTTTGCAGGGCAGATATGGCCTGGGAGGTTAAGGGCAAGGCAGGACGCATGCTGTGCAGCAGGGATGGAGGGATGCTCCGAGCAGCAGGACCAGGGTTATGCAAGCGCGACATCTCCGTGCACAGATTTAGGGGCTGCTGTCAGCTCTGGCACCGCAGCTGCAGCAAATCCTCCCCTCCCGAACCCATGGCCAGCAGGCAGAGGGAGTCCTTTCCCTGGAAGAAAATCTGTAGTGAAGGCAGCCAAAAGGAGATCCCTGAGCAGCCCTGCCAGGACCCCCATTGCTGCAGAGACGTTGATGCGCTCTGCTCTCTAAACCAGAGTCATCCTCACTCGCCATCCCCCATGCTCTTCAGGGAAAAGCCCTGGGGATGCTGGATGAGAGCAGCCCTCAGCAGGCAGATGAGCAGAGGTCGTGTCTGCAGCCCCCACCTCCTCCCCACCACACAGCCCGGCTCTGAAACACCATCTGGGGGCTCTTTCTCTCCCTTTCAGCAGATGGTTTAGGATTACTTTCCATTCAGTGGCCAGGACCCAGCTTGGCTGTCACCTGGGGATGAGATGTGATGATTTCCCAGAGGTTCACCCTGACAGGCGTGGTGCTAAGGTGCAGCTGCAGCATCTCTGTGGGTACCACAGTGCCAATCTGGGACCTGGGATGCTGCAAGAGGCTGGTGGGCGAATGGCAGAAGAATCAGGTAGAGGATGCTCTGAAACTGCAGGGCAACTAAGACCTGCTTGTCCCTACACATATCAGATCCCCAGACCAGTAGAGAATCCCAGACTGGATTGGACTGGAAGGGACCTTAAAGCTCATCCAGTTCCGACCCCCTGCCATGGGCAGGGACACCTTCCACTAGAGCAGGTTGCTCTATTATCAGGATTTGCCCAGGGTTTAAACGAGAGCAAGAAGTGGATCTGTGTCAGGGCATGGGGAGGTTGCTGAAGGCAGGATGCTGCCCTCAGAGCCTGCAGAACCTCAGTGCAAAGCTGAGCGTGTTGGTGAGCAGCATGGCTGCGCTCAGGCTCAGAAGCGCATCCTGCTTAGGAAAAGGCATTGGCAGGAATGGGGAAAAAGAAACTGGGCTGTGTTTCCTCAGGGAGCACCCTGTGTGTGGTTAACCCTGGGGTTTCAAAACCACGAGGCTCTGTCTGCACAGCTTAGCCATGAGAAGAAAACCGAGGCCTTATGATGATCCCATGACTGGAGTGAAACCAGATGGTTGCTGCTGGTCGTGGTTGGCCCTGTCCTGCCGCTACAGCAAAGCCTGCACGCTGGCCAGGTTGGTAGCCTTTGCTTGCATAGCGTGTCCGTGTTAAACAATATGCTAACAACTGGCTTTTTTGGATGATTTTGAACAGAACGCTGTGGAATGGTCTTTGGCTGCATCAGCATCTTTCTGTGGTGGTGTGGAGCCAAGAAAAGACCAGAAAGTGCCCAGTAAACACTTTGCTGACAATAGCAGGGAAGAGGCATGAAAAGAAACCAACCTATCTGGTTTCGTGGATTCACCGTGGCTGATCAGCTCCAAAATCAGTAGGTTCCGGTTTGTAATGCTTGTTCCTGCCTCTTCTGAAACCTTCACGGTCAGGATGGGCACCACCAGAGACTGGATGCTAACAAACCCCTATTAACAAATGGCTTTTTCCTATCAGAAGGAACTTTGAGCTACTTCTTGTGGCACAAGCATAGCCCTGCTGCTGACAGCCAAGCAGCTTTATGTAGGTTTTCGCCTCCTAGTCCTCATTCAGATACACTCCTTCCTATTCTGTCACATGAAATGAAGCCCCCCAGCTTACCCCGAGCCCCCCCCAGCACAAACTGGAGCCATCACTGCAGTGACCTGTGCAGTGACAGCAAATCCAAGCAGAGCGGCCTCCGGCCCTGTGCATCCCGCAGTGACACGGGGACGTTCAGTTAACCTTTTACGACAGGCATCAGGCACTACCAGCACCAATTCCTTAAAGCCAGCTCCTAATTAGTCACAGGCCAGGTGGACTTGCATAACCTCGTGCTTTCCCACACCCTTCCCCTCCACCAGCTGCCTAGATGGGAGAAGCCGATCTCGGATGCTGACTGTGCTCGGTGCGGGTACCGGTGCAGTGCGTGTGGGTGCAGTGAAAAGCCGTCTCGAGTATTTCGCATCCCTGCTCCTGCCTCCCTCCCTCCCCTGCGCCTGTGCTGAAAGAAAGGGAACCTGACAGTCGGAACTGCTTGATTTTAAATTGCCCTTTCCAGCGCTTGTCTCGCCTGCTGCAGCACAGCGAGAGACTCAAGCCGCGGTTACAGCAAAGAACAGGAAGGAAATTCAAGATGTTGTTCCCCTGTTGTCGGAGTCACGCTGCTCTGGTCCCTCTTCCCTCCCCATCCTCCAGCTGCGTGCTCCTCCTGGTGAACCGGCAGCGCTGCTCGCTGCGTGCTGGTTCAGGGAGTAACACCAGCAGAACGCTGGCATTAAGGGACAGATTGCTGCTGCTTTAGCTGAGCAGGCTCAAATCGGGCCGGACAACCTATTTGCCTGTGTTAAAGTGTCTGCATACAGCACAGGTAAGGGCAGCAAAGCCTTTTCCTCCAAACCCCCAGAGGGTCAATTCCCACTGTGAGCTGACCTCCCTTTGCTTCCCAGGGAAAGGATAACCTTATTTTTCTCCTGTGGTGAATCTGGTTTTGACTGTGTTTTCCCTTCCGAGGACTCGGGGTTTATTCTCTTGACAAGTTGATTTCTCGAGTTCATTGTGCCTCTGCTGCAGGGCATAGGAGATTTACTGTCACAAGAGAGATGCCGGGTAGGTAAAGCGATGATGTAATGCTGCAAGCTGCCCCATCAGGGAGAAAGATCCACCTGAAACTTCTCCAGATTCTGGGCTGATCATATGCAAACTCCAATTTATTTCTCTCCCTGTTTTGCATATCTCCATCTGCACCGCTTCTTGCACATCTCCATGGAGATGAAGAAACGAGGCTGGATAATGCTGTTCTGGCATCACCCAGCCACTAACACAGGTCCCAGCAAGTGCTGCATGATGGGGAACCAGCACCCATGGGGGAGATCCCAGTGGGGACCCCATCCAGCTGCTCCCACACAGGCCTGATCCTGATGCTTCCCACTGCACAGCAGCATCCTTCCCTAAGGAACAGGGTAAAACCCTGCTCGAGGGAGCAGCAACAGCAGCCAGGAGATTGCCCCAGTTCTGCAGGGAAGTGGGGTCAGAGAGCACTTCCACATCCTCATGCTGGAGGTTTTCACATTCCCAGCAGCACCTACTGACTTACATGTAAAATAATGCCAGCGTTCACGCGTCATCTAAGCTTTACTTGTTTTCCTTTACACCTAAAACCACTTTGTTTAGCCCCAAATGGCCAGTGCCACTTTAAATGTGTCTGAATTATTCCCTCTGTAACTAATATCCCTATATAGGCACCGCTCCATCTGCTCCAGTATTTCTCAGCTGTTTCTGTCCTCAACCTAATGGCCAGCTTATACACAGCTAACAACTTTGGAGCATGGAAGTGACAAATTAACCCAAAGCCTGCTGTAAGCACTGATGCTCCGAAGGATTTGTGATGATTTGGTGTTTTCTGTTTGCTTGTCACCCCAGTGATCACAGATATGTGTGTGGCAGCAGCCTCTCTCCATCATGGAAAGTTGGGACAAATACTCTGCCGGCATAAATCAATGCAGCTCTGTGGAGGTCAGTGAGATTACATTGAGTTACACCAGCTACAGGCTTTGCCCATCTTTCGGATAGGTTTGTGTCCTGTCCCTCTCTCTGTAAAGGTCTTCCAAGAGCATGTGTCAATGGCATTGAGAGAAGCCTTTCCTCCCAAACACCTTTATTTATAGCTTTCAGATGGTGACAGGTCTATAGAAAGAGAGTGGAGGAGCAGGCCAATTCCTGCTTGTGTTTGGGTAACTCCTTTCTCTGTATCAGTTAAATATCAATGAACCTCTTAGGGAAAAATCCTTGTTTCCATGATTTTCTAGCTAATAACTCCCTGACATAGCTGCAGTGCTCAATTCTGACTACCTGTTTCCAGCACTCAGCCTGTAGATACAACTTTTCCTTGGTCTCAAAGCATTCCAGTAAGGGAAGACTGTACCAAACCCTCATTCCAAACACAGGCAAACTCAGGTGCAGGGAAACAGAAGGATACAGCAGTGCTCTGCTGTACAGAGCAGCTCTCTGCCCAATCCTCCTTGTTTCAGTGGATGTGAGCTGTATTTCTATACAGTGGACTTCTCTGTTTTCCTTCGCAGCTGGTCGCTGAAGACAGGATTTCTAAATGAGCCTGAGAATTACACATGCAAATCCCATAGGCCTGGAATTGGGAACATCTGAGCAACAAATTGTCCTTGCTAAAGATGGTGCCGGAGCCAAAAAGCCTACAGATTTCGGGCCTGCTGTAAGTACTTTTAAAATCAAGCTAAGCTGGTCTGCTCCCTCGCTGAGCCTCACTGGTGCTGTTTGCCGGGTGCCAGTTTGCTTCTCAAGGCACTTTATGCTTGAGCAGAGAAGGGACATGGGGACAAAAGTGGGGGGGACACTGTCATGGCTACTCCTCACTTGCCTTTCGCTCTGGTCCACATCTTACAACACGTATGCGCTTTATATCTGAGATGCTGAACCCGTGTCCTTATCTGAGCTTACAGGCAGGAGGGAGGGAAGAAGGGCCAGGATGTGCATGCAGATGTTCAGGTTGATGGCAGGGAGGCACTGCACTAAGTCAGTCTATCCTGCTCTGCAGCCCTACCCGGTGTTCCCTCAGCCCTCCTCATTGACCGTCTTTTAAGCCACACAGAATGACCCTTGAGGGGCTGAGCCAGCATCCCTCTAACACCAAACACTCAGGTGAGCAGATGGGAGAGTTCCTTAGGATCTGACCTTCCCGTCCTTCCTCCCTTGCCCCTGAGACCGGGCAGCATCAGCACCTCCAGCCCCCAAACCATCTGCCAGCCCAGGGCTCTGCGGTCAGGCTCATCCCCGTGGCTGGACAGACAGATCTCTGCTGCACCCAGCGCTGCCAGCACCGTGCACTGCAGAACTGCTGGGCTGTGCAGGCATCTGGACATCAGGTGCTGTTGCTGCTTTAACTGCGAGCCAAATCCTGCACCAGCGTCTGGTGATCAAACTGGCAGAGGACTGGGGAGGAGGTGACTTTTCTGTGGGGAGGTGACATTTTCATTTCACTCGCTCCTGTCTTATTCTTACTGTCTGACCAGTAACAGGGTGGTTTTCCTGTGCCAAACAGCCCCTCACTTCCCCCTATCTTATACATATACCTATCTTTCTCCTCTTATATTACCCCAAAAGTGGGTAATGTGAATTTTTCACCCTGTAAAGGGTTTAACTCTCAGTGGGTTAAATCCATCTTGTTCTGTCCCTGTAGGCTGCCTGCTGCCATAGGCAAGGCAAGCAGGATCCATCCCCTGATGTCAAATGTGTTCCCAAAGCTGCTGGGCCACCGAGCCCCCAGTGGTGGCCCACTGCAGCAGCAGCAGTGCCCGCTGGGGCCAGCAATGTGCCACAAGTGTCAGCCCTTGGGTTTCCCTGGGGCTTCTCAAGGAGCAGATTTACCCTGGGAGGGATGGGGAGGATGCAGACAAGAAGAGCAGGGGGTCAGGGGGACCCTTTGTGTAAAGCATGTATCAACAGGGCTGCCTGCGGTACCAGGGCGATCTGGGCTCCCAGGATCTCCAGTGCTGCTCAAAAGCTGTTGGGAAATGCAGGATTGCTTTTGGGTTCCTATCAGAGCAAGTGGGTTTTGGTTATGGCTTGGGCACATTTCCATTAGATGGGAAGAACACCCACTCCTTTTAAAGGGCAGGGACAAGCTCTCCTGTGTTTTAAACATAGGGTAAAGTCCTGTTAAGTTTCAGAAGAGCTGGGTTTTAAAATCAAACCATCTGCATTAGAATTTTCAGCTTAATCCAGTACTTCCACCCAGGCCATGGTCCTTCCCACAAGGCAAACGCACCCGCACGTGCTCGTGGAAATACTTACATTCCCTGCTCCCCGTAGTGATTGTAAAATTCCATGTGGCTGCAAGCCTGGATCCAGCCCACAATCCAGGTCTCCTTCTTGGGAATAGGGGGCACCAACACTTGTGCAGAGGCTCGGAAGTGAGGGGTCCGGTAGCGCAGGACCACGCTGGAGGACTCGTCGATGCTGGTGGGAATGGGATCGATGGAGGCTTTGACTTCAATCACTGAAATACTTTCCCGGAAAACTTTGGATTTGCAGCTAATACTCTGAATACAGCCCATGGCATACCCCGAGTACAGTCCGACGCAGCTCCTAGGGTACTCCAGCAATCCTGGGGAATATTAGGCATTGAAATTATCTGGTGCTAGATCAATTACAGATCTTCTTGGTTTGTAATCTCAAAACTGATATCCATAGGATAGAAAATTCATCACGTAAAGCCTTAATTTGAGTATCTGTCTTACAAGTACTGCTATTTTTGAGGCTAGCTGCACTTCAGAAGCAAAAAGGGCCTTTAAAATTGTTTTCCCCTTTTAATGACCCATTAAATGTATCACTCAAACAGTCTTTGGGTTAAAAAAAAAGGGCTCTTGAGTTCAATAAATAACGGTGGTGTTCTTAGCCGATATATTTAGTCCTTCCTTTCCTCAGATGCGGTCTGTCATTCACCGTCAAACATAGAACTAGCCGGTATTTCCCTTTATTCTTTGGATGAAAAGCAGACTGTTGATAGACACATCTATATAAATAATGAAATAGTTTTTAGCCCCGGCTTGTCACAACCGGTGTGGATTTCCACTTCCTGACTTGCAGTTGTTCAGAACTTCCTTTCGCACACAAAAAAATCACAATAATAAACCCGAAAGAAACGACGGGTGGAAAACGCACGGAGTAGCCAAAGCCCCGGTGCTTGGAGGCTCCTCCGCCGGCGATGCGGTGGGGATTATTATTAACTATAATGCCCTTTCCTTAGAAATAGCCGGAGCCGCACGGACCGACCGGGGGTCCCGCTCCCGCAGCGGGGCCGCGCTCAGCACCGCGGAATCACCGCCCGTGTCATCCCGCCGCCACGCACCGGCCCGGGGGGCGCCGGCCCCGCGGCTCCCCTTCCTCCTCCTCCTCCTCCTCGGCGAGCGTCTCTCCGCAGGGGTGTCCGACCTTCCTCCTCCTCCTCCTCCTCCCGCTGCTGCTGCCGGCCGAGCGGGCTGCGGCTCAGCCTGCGGGGCTCATGGGCTGCCCCGCACACACGCGTGGGCCCCGCGGGGCGGTCACAGCATCCCGCGGCGGCGGGAGCAGCGCCGAGCCCCGGCCGCCGCGCTCCGCACCGGGCTCCGCACCGGGCTCCGCGCTCCCTGCGCTGCGCGGAGGCGCGGTGCGGCGGGCGGAGGTGGGGGGGGGGGGGGGGGGGGTGTATAGGGGGGAGGCTCCTTCTCTCGCTCCTTTTTTTCCTCCCTTCGCCTCTTTGCTAGATGCCCGGGGAGGTGAGAGGAGCAGGATCGGTGCCTCCGCCTCCTGGCTGCAGCGAGCTTCCTCTCTCGCAATACATTCATGCATACGGGGACAGCGCCGGCCCCGCGCTCAGCCTCGCCGCTGGAGCTAAAGACGGGGGGGGGGGGTGGTGTCGGGGAGGGCTCCCGCTCCGGTCGCAGCCGCAGGATCAGAAAGGCAACGGGGTCAAACTTTGCCCGAACTCGCCCGTTGCTGCTCCGAGCCCCCCGGCGCTCCCCGCCGGCCGCCCGGGCTGGGACCGCCGCATGACAGCGGCCCCGAGCCCGCTGCGCTCCCTGCCCGCCCGTCCTCCCTCCTTCGCCCAGTCCCATCCCTCCTCCCCCTTATTTCGCTTTTAAACTGCAGCTGTTGAGGCTAACCCTCCTTTGCAAAAAGCAGCATTTCCTCCCACTGCTCCGCGGATTGTGGGTAATGTAGTTTTGGTGAGACATGTCTCCCCACCCCTTCCCTTCCCTTTTCTTTTCCCCTGTGTATTTGCTCTTGGGGTTTCAGCTTAAGAGTTCCCTCTCCCAGCTGGAGCTCGGGTGGTAGATTTGGGAAAGGGGTGGTCTCCTTCTGTGCAAAACCTGTAGCCCTAGGTTGATGGACTGGGTTTCAAGCAGCCAGAAAGGCAGAGCTCTCCATAGCAGCGCAGCGACTGAGGGGCAACTGGAATAGAGCCTTAGGAGCCACCCAAGGCAGCAGCGGCCCGTGGCAAAGTTATAAACTTCTGTAATGGATCATTTCAGGAGTAACGCTGCTGAGGATCCCAACGGCAAGAGCTGAGCACCAGGAGAGGGGTGTGCGTGTCCAGCGTTTTGGTAAGAGCTGCTGTGCATTGAGGGGGACGCAGAACTCCGGGTGCGTGTTTGTTATTATTATTGTGTCCTTTGAGGTGTGCTTCTACGTAGGAAACCTGGGGAACCAAGAGTAAAAACCTCTCTGCCAGTGATGCCTTCAGTGTGCTACAGCGGAGCAGAGTGGAGTAAATGTCTTTTATTCATGGAGACATGGGATCAGGAATGGTTTGGGTTGGAAGGGACATTAAAGCTCATCCAGTTCCAATCCCCTGCTACAGGCAGGAACCCCTTCCACTAGAGCAGCTTGCTCCAGGCCCCTGTGTGCAACCTGGCCTTGAACACTGCCAGGGATGGGGCAGCCACAGCTTCTCTGGGCACCCTGTGCCAGCGCCTCACAGGGAAGAGCTTCTGCCTAAGAGCTCATCTCAGTCTCCCCTCTGGCAGGTTAAAGCCATTCCCCTTGGCCTGTCCCTACATCCCTTGTCCAAAGCCCCTCTCCATGTTTCCTGTAGGCCCCTTTTCAATACTGGTATATAGTCCTTCCCACCCCGTGCTCTCAACAGGCTCGATGAGCTCACGCTGTGCCTGGCATTCTCCAGCACTGTGCACTTGCTGTCTGCCCTCCGATGGGAAGGAGAGACAGGAGCTACTGGGTGATCCTGACAAGCGAATGCCACGGGATGAGGGGAGGGTCTTTTCCACTGCAGCAGGTGGAAAACACCCCATCTATTGCTTTTCTTCTGTGCATTTCTCAAAGGTTTGGCCAAGTATTTCCTTCAAACTTCCCAATGAAGTGCACAATTACAGTCACTAGCCCCGCCACAGCTACAAGAGCCAAGAACACACTCAAGTTACAAGCAACTTACCATCACGTAGTACAAGAAAGAATGGAATGAGCATCTCCAAGTGCAATATCCAGTTGCTTCAGCAGCCTCCAGAAGGTGTTGAAATCCTTTGACATTTCCAAGACTCTTTCACACTTTTCAAACAAGCTTGTCACACTTTCAGAGCATCATGAATCTGGTGAAACTGCGTCTTCAGCACCTCCATTCTCACGAAGCTTCAGCCAGGTTTTGCTTCAACTTGGCTGTCTCTGGTGTTCTGGTCAAGGAGGAAATTGCATTATCTCATTCTAATTAAATCAGATTTTTTACTGCAGATGGAGTTTTCTCTGGGTTTTGGTCGTGCCCATCCCCATCACGCTGCTGGGAGTGATGAGTGTGGCTGCACTGAGCCCGGTATTAAACGACTCCTGTGCCCGAGAGCATGCTGCTCACTGATGGAATGGTTGGAGAGGTGAGGCCAAGCTGTGATAAGTATGAATTAGGAGTGTCTGGTGATGCTGTGTTGTGTTTCCTTCTGCTCCTTGTTTGATGAACCTGCCCATGTCTCACTGTAGCATGGCCGTGCTCCATTCCTCCTATTATTACCCCCAGCACTGTGCCTCCATGTCCTTCCAGCATGGTTTCCTGGTTTATGGAATTGCAGGATCTGCTCTTCACCATCTGATCAGCAACACATACAAGCGGCCCACTGGAGGCTACGCTGTGCTGTGCTGATGGGCCTGGCTGGATCTGCTGCCTGTGCCATGCACACTGCAGAATATCACATTTCACTTTGGCCAAGCTCTCTCTTTTTCACCCCCTGAACAATCACACCCAGGAACACCATGGGTTTGCTTGCAAGCACTTTGGCTGCAAGCTCTGCTTCTTGGCCAGGCACTGCTGGAGGCTGGGATGCACCAACACTGCCGGTGAATCACAGAGAAAGGGGATGTTGCTGCCCTTCCCATCCCACCCCATCTCCAGCCATCCATGGGGACTTGTGGCAGGCACCCCGGGACTGCAGCACAGGACACTGCAGGGTGACCGGGAGGCAGGAACACAGTGAGGCTGAGGGAGCTGGGTGCATGGAGCACACCAGATTTGTCCGTGCGGATTTGTCCGTCCGGGCATTCTCCCAGGTGATCCGTGTGGATCGGGTGTCAGGCCTGGAATAGCCCTGCTGCAGCAGGAAGCCTGTCTACAAGCTTAGCAGGGATATTTATAAACCCTGGGGTTTGTGGCTGTGTTGTGAGCAGTGCAGCAGGACGGTGCTCATCATGGTCGCAGTGCAGGGACTGGGGTGGTTTCCTTCCCAAGCTCGGTTTCCCTGGCTGGATCTGGTGCTGACAGCCCACCCTGCTGCAGGAGAGCCCAAATTGCTTTCCTTTCCCACTGCCCTTTTGACAGGGGTTTGCTGGTGCTGCGTCCATCCCATGCGACCCTTCCTCCTCCATCCCCTTCCCGCTGGGGCCTCGGGCTGGGCTGTGATGCTGGACTCTCACAGGGAGGCTGGGGCAGCTCTGTGTGTAAGGCAGGGAAATTCCCTTATATCAGCATCAGCAGAAGAGACAGGCACCAGATTAAATTAACTCCCCGGGCTTTCAAGGTACTTTTTACCCTGTGACATGCTCAGTAATAGCTCAGCATCCTGGGCACTGGACTGGACAGAGGGAGGGATGATTCTCCCTCTTTCTGTAGGCTTTCTGTGCCTGTGATGTTTGCAAAGAGCCCTGCACAGCAGCGGCCCTGCATGGAGCTGGAGAAGCAGGGCACCCATCCAGCGGGGAGGTGATGTCTGGAGCCAAGCTAAAGCGGTGCTGATGGTTATCTCCTCGGCTCATGGCAGGTGGGTCGAGATTTACCACATGCCTCGGAGCCGGGCAGCGGGATGAGGGCAGGCAGATAGGGACAGGGTGCTGACTGCCCTGATAACGTGAGAATGCTGCTGAGCAGACAGTGACCAGACAGGAGCTGGTGGGTGTCGGGGATGTGACAGTGCCAAGTGGTACCCGAGCTGAAGGGGGTTGTGGTTTATGGGCTGCCTGGGGTGGGGGGGCAGCTCTTCCTCCAGCTGGAATCATCACAGATGAGGGGTAACTTCCTAGAGGGTGTGATTCAGAGATGAATTGATGCGATTTTCCCTTGAGAAAGGGAAATATGAGCAAACCCAGGAGCTCCTCAGGACCTCTGGCACTTGTTCGGCCAAGCATTGCTCTCGCCTCTGGTCAGTCGGTCAGTCAGATGGGCAAGGGCTGGATGCATAATTCTCACAGAGGGTTTGAAGAGCTATGGATTAAAAGTGCAAAGAAAGTGCAAACTTTTTCTTACTGTCTTAGGAAGCCAAGAGCCACCCCTCAATTAGCACCTCACTCTCTGTTGTAGTTTGGACTGTTAAAGACACCTGGGTGCCTGATTCCCTGGGTTACCTGTCCAAATACTGACCTCCGCAACTGGGTGTTTGTGTAGGCAAACGTCACTGTCACCGAGAGATGCGCCTGTTCAGCTCCTCGGTGCAATACTCATCCTCTCCACTTCTCTGCCCACGGGGGATTTCCAGCCTATGTGCATAGGAATAATCGTGTTTCTCAGGCGTGTGGGTTGTGTGGAGCCGTGACAGCTCCTTGCCCAGGGAAGGTAACCTGCCTGTCACCCGCTTTCAGCCTGGGATGTGCGATGCTGGATGACACGGCACAAGCGTGCGGTATTGAGGCCATGCTCAGCGCTGGGGGCAGGAGGATGGGAATTCATTTGTGGTGCCGTGTCTCTTTTAATCAGGAGGCAGGTGATGCTTCTCTTTGGTCCAGGAACGAGGTGAGTGATGGGAGATGCTGCGGGGGTGCATCCTGAGCGGGAAGGGAGGATGGAGCTCGTGATGCTTGAAAGGTATCCATCCAGGGAGAGGAAGGTGGTGTTTAGGGTGCCCTTGCAGGGGGGGGAAGATGTTGCAGAACAGATAAATCAAGAAGATACCCAGGTAGAATTCCCTGTGGGGAAGCCCCTAATCAACACCCAGCCTTGGAGCTTGCAAAGCCAGGCTGCACAGTACACGATAGGAGCAGTGCTAGCTGCCATGGGGAGAGGGGATGCTGTGATCTCCTCCAGCTCCTTCTCTCTGATACAGAAATGTGAATTGCCGTGCCTAAAAGAACTACACTTCCCAGTTTCCCTTGCAGCCCAGGGGAATAAGCAATTGGAAGATTTAAATAGACCAGGCCAGAAGCAACCAACCTTTGGCACAACGCTTTTCCCTCCTCTTCTTCCAGTCTATTGGCTGTTTAACCTTTTTCCCTGGCACTGGAGTGGCTGCCAGGCCTGGCATTAATTCTCCTTCCAAGCTTGCTAGGCCCGTGAAGTAAACAGCCATGTGCATTCCTTACTCTATATTTAACAGCTGCAGTCTGTGCTGGGGGGCAACTGCAACAGAGGGGAACCTTTGCAGCTTCCCAAATTCACGGCTTGTGAGGGTAGGAGTGGGGGAAGCTTCCTGCAGGGAGAAGAGGGATTTCTCTCCTTCCCGGTGTTTGCAGAGCAGGTTGCGTTAAAGAGAGACTGCAATGCCAGCATCCCAGCCGCGGTCCAGGGCAAGAGACAGGAACAATGTCCTCAACAGGGCTGAGTTCCTCTCCCTGAATCAGCCCTTGAAGGGGACCCAGGAGAACAAGGGCTCCGGCAGAAAGCAGAGCGGCCAGGCCGGAGGAGCTGGTACCCAGAGCAGCAGCCCCAAGGAGCGGAGGCAGTCGCAGCAGCTGCCCGAAGAGGACTGCATGCAGCTCAACCCCTCCTTCAAGGGAATCGCCTTCAACTCCCTGCTGGCCATCGATATCTGCATCTCCAAGAGGCTGGGGGTGTGCGCCAACACAGCCTCCTCCTGGGGTGGTGCCCGCTCCATGATCAACCTCCTGGGGATAACGGGGCACGGCATCCCCTGGATCGCGGGGACGCTCATCTGCCTGGTGAAGAGCAGCACGCTGGCAGGCCAAGAGGTCCTCATGAACCTGCTGCTAGGTGAGTGGCAAACCTCCCTCCCCACCGGGAGAGCCCAGCCCTGGTCACAAGGGGCAGCAGCAATGGGACTCCTCCTCTGCCTGCTCCCAGCCACCGGTGTGGCTGGGAAGCAGGGAATGACCTTTAGGGTGAATGCTGCACGTATTGGCTGTCCCGGTCATGGGTACCATGGGTGATGGGTGTAGCAAAGAGTTGTCTGAGAGGGAGCCAGGAATCCTGGAAGCTGGTGGTACCCATGGAGTAGGGGCAGGTCCTCAGTCCTGCACGGGACAGGCTTGTCCAGTCAGATCAAGGAAGTGTCTGTGATGTGCAGGTGTATACCAGCAGCCATGTCTGTATTTAATCTAGGGTCATCTGCATCGGTGGTTTGATAGGTGGGAAAGCGTAAAGATTTGAATCTTTGATACGTGGATCGATTCCTGAAGATATCCTTGAGGAAAAGGTGTTCCCAGACCTTGGTTCACATCTCAGCCACCACGTGATGGAGTCCTGTCTCCTTCCCTGCTGCAGTTTGATCTAGTCTCGGCCTTCCCTTGAGGACCTTTCTTGCTGCTGTCCCATTTCCGTGTGCTAATTTGACCCAGAGGCTGTGCAGGTGGGCTGGGATCTCTCTGCCTTTCCTGCTAGTCCTCCTTTGCGTGGTGGTCGGTGTCGTTGCTTCTGGAGGTTGGGATGTGTTAAAGGAGTTGCCTTCTCAGTTAAGCAGGGCCTGTTCCACCTGTGTGGACCAATGCCCCACCAGTGACCATGCTGAGCTCTAGGCATGACTTCCCTTAGATCCTGGCCCCAAACCGCCCTGGCCATGTCTATCTGAGGACCTTGCTCTTCTTGCTCTTCTGCTTTTGGCATGGTGCTCAGTTATCATGTTTTTCCTTGTGACTAACTGCTATCTCATCTGGCTGGGATCCACCCGAGTGTTTCACCCTCTCCCAAAACCAGCGATTGGATCTCCCACTTTTGGTTGGTAAGAGAAATCAAAAAACATTGGATTTAGGCCTTTGCTTCTCAGGGATCCTTTTGAGAAGACATAGGGACCTTGTATTTCAGAGGCGCCCCAGGTAAGGGACCACTGCGACGCAATGTGGGCTCTGCAGCATGGCCCCAAGCTTTTCTTTCTCACAAGCTCACCTGAACTGGCTTGCAAAGCACAGTGGTGCCTTTTCTCCCCTCTTGCCTTTGAAAGAGCCCGTCCTTGTGCTGTGACATCTAGAGAAGGGAGGCCATGGCAGGGAAGCAGCCAGAATAGCATCAGCGTGATGCAGAGCCCGCTGATGTCAGCAGCTCTTCCAGGGGCTCCTCAGTGTGCTGGGTCAGCCTCTCGCTGAGAGAAGCTCCATTTAAAAGGGCACGAGGATGAAATAGGAGGTGACGAACGTCAACGGGCACCGTGTCCAGATGTCTCTTGACCTGAGAGCCTTTGATGGTCTTGGAGCATGAAAACTGACCTCTTTGGCTCCAAAATATTTGCGGTCCTTATAAAGCGCTAGTGCCACCTTTGGCTTAAAAACAAGGTAGGTTTTCTCACCCTTCTGTTGCCATCTGAGGAGGCCAAATGCGAAGCCACCTCTGGGGCACATAGGAACTTTGAGTATCGGGTGGTCACTGGGAGAGCTCAGCCCTGCACCACTGCTTGGGTCTCAAACGTGGTGACTCGACAGCTCCATGGAGAGCT